GAAGAGCTGCTGCTTGAGAGATGGGTTCCTGGAATAGCAATGATCAAGCTGCCAAACACTGTTCCAATGCCAGCCCCTGAACCAGCCACACCAACTGTGGCTGCTCCAGCACCAATAAACTTGGCTGCTGTGTCGATGTCCCGGGAGGCAACACTGGTCTGGAACTCCCGTCAGGCCACCTGGAGTGGGGAGCTGCTGGAGGAAGGCTGTTTAGATGAACTCTCTGGGTTATTCAAGGAGGCAGACACAGGCCTGATTAGACCCCTGGTACAACAGCGGATCAGAGCCGGAGAAATGAGTAACGCCCCGGTAGTCTGCATTTTTTCAGTCTCCCAGCTTTAGCCCTTGGTCTCAGTGCTCAGCTTCCCCTACCCCTATTTTTAATTTTTTTGAGACAGAGTTTCACTCTTGTGGCCCAAGCTGGAGTGTAATGGCGCCATCTCAGCTCACTGCAACCTCCGTTTCCCAGGTTCAAGCGATTCTCCTGCCTCAGCTTCCCGAGTTGCTGGGATTACAGGCTTGTACCACCAAACCTGGATAATTTTTGTATTTTTTGTAGAAGTGGGGTTTTGCCATGTTGGCCAGGCTGGTGTCCAACTCCTAAACTCAAGTGATCCACCCGCCTCAGCCTCCCTGTGTTGGGATTACAGGTGTGAGCCACCGTGCCTGGCCCAATGGGAAGTTTTGACCAGTGGGAAATAACATAATCACAGTGTAGTTCCAGCAGTCGGGTGGCAGTGCAAACTGTACATTTAAGGAGCGGAAGAGAAGGGGGGATCAGAGAGATATTTAGGATACTACTGAAGTAGTCCAGGTGCAAAATGTAATCAAGGCCTAGAATAAAAATTGGGAGCACTCTTAGCCAGTTTCCCTGTACCACGAGGCCTACTGCATGCGCACCTCCTGGCCCACACACCCCGACCCCAGGAAAATATTTTTTTGACAACTGGAACCAAGATCTTGGTGATCTTTTGCGAAGTCAGAGCTTCTTAAATTGGAATACAGGCAGGGCATGGTGGCTCATGCCTATAATCCCAGCACTGTGGCAGGTCAAGGTGGGTGGATCACTTGAGCCTGGGAGTTTGAGACCAGCCTGGGCAGTGTGGTGAAACTCCGTCTCTACTAAAAACACAAAAATTAGCCGGGCATGGTGGTGCTCGGCTATAATCCCAGCACTTTGGGAGCCCGAGTCCCCCGGATCATGAGGTCAGGAGCTCAAGACCAGCGCAGCCAACATGGTGAAACCCTGTCTCTACTAAAAATACAAACATTAGCCAGGCATGGTGGCAGGCACCTATAATCCTAGCTACTCGGGAGGCTGAGGCAGGAGAATTGCTTAAACCTGGGAGGCGGAGGTTGCAGTGAACCGAGATGGCATCATCTTGCACTCCAGTCTGGGCAACGCTCTTGTCTCAAAGAGAAAAAGGAAGGAAGGAAAGAAAGAGAAAGAAAAGCATAAAAAAGAAAGAAGGAAAGAAAAGAAAGAGAGAGAGAAGGAAGGAAGGAAATCCTAGGGTTGAAGGACAGATTAGAGTAGGAACTGAGATTTTAGGGACAGTATCAGATCTGTTTTGAACAAGATGAGTTGGATGTATCTTTGTGACATCCAGATAGAGCTATCCATCAAACAGTTATATAAAAGGGCTAAGGAAAGGGTTTTCCAAAAAGGTTGCCACGAAAGGCAACATGCAGCTGTTAAAGGGAAAGCTGTGGAGGGCTTTCCAGGGTCAAAGAAGTTAGGGAAACTTTTGGTTAAACAGGCGCTGAGCCTTTAAGATGCTAATAACTGCTAGGAAATTCCAAGAACAAGGGCATTCATTATTTATTTATTTGTTTGTTTTTAGAAATTGTGGTGAGGGAGGATATCTCGCTTTGCTGCCCAGGCTGCTTTCGAACTGCTAGCCTCAAGTGATCCTCCCGCCTCGACTTCCAAAGTGTTGGGATTACAGGCATGAGCCAGCACATCTGGCCCCTGAAAATTATTTTGACCATGAATCAGTTTTTCTTTCCATAGAGTATCTAGGGGGAACTCACCACATTCCAAAGAACCGTTTCTGCAATGCTTGTTTTGAGCCTCGGAGAGAAAAGTGCAGAACTACGCGGTGGGGGGGGGGGCGTTACCATGGCAACGGAAGGTCTGGCGGGGAGGCGATCAATAAAGAGCCCCTGGAGTGAGAGGAGGGGAGGGCTGCAGACAAAGGCGGAAGGCTGCCTAGATGGCTGGCCACTGTGCTTGGACAGGAGCCAGGAGACAAGAGTGTCTGGAAAGCTTATGTGTATGAAATCATATTTTTCCAGGCCATTTTCCTCTTCGTAGTTTATTCTTTCGGTTGATTTGTAAAAGCTCTCACTGAAGCTCTTATCAGAAAAATGTACAAAGCATCAGGACGGTAGCCATGGAAGCCAAAATCCACCAAGGAGTGGAGTGTCCACAACTCACCTGCCAGGAAAATATATATACACAACCCATGGGTCGAACTGACCGAATTATTCCAAAGTGAACACACACTCCCCACAGTGACAATGCCTGGGTCAAGAAACAGAACATTATCAGCACCCCCGGAAACTTGCCTTTGTGTCCTTCCCAAGCATTAGCCTCCTACCTCCTTAAAGTAACCACTTTCCTCACTTGTTACACTGTAGATACATTTTGTTTGTTTTTTTGGGGGTGGGGTGGGGGGATAAACAGAGTCTTGCTCTGTCAGCCAGGCTGGAGCGAAATGTCGCCGTCTAGGCTCACTGCAACCTCCGCCTCTCAGGTTCAAGCAATTCTCCTGCCTCAACTTTCCGAGTAGCTGGGATTATGGGCACCCTTCACCATGCCTGGCTAATTTTTGTATTTTTAGTAGAGACGGGGTTTCACCACGTTGGCCAGGCTGGTCTCGAACTCCTGACCTCAAGTGATCCACTCGCCTCGGCCTCCCAAAGTGCTAAGATTACAGGTGTGAACCACGGCGCCCGGCCTTGTCTGTTCTTTTTTTTTTTTTTTTTTTTGAGACGGGGTCTCACTCTTTCACCCAGGCTGGAGTGTAGTGGTATGATCTCAGCTCACCGAAATCTCTGCCTCCTGGGCTCAAGTGATTCTCCTGTCTTAAACTCCCGAGTAGCTGCGATTACAACAGGTGCATGCCACCATGCCGGGCTAATTTTGTGTGCGTGTGTGTATTTTTTAGTAGAGACAGGGTTTCGCCATGTTGGCCAGGCTACTCTCAAACACCTGGCCTCAAGTGATCTGCCCAACTTGGCCTCTCAGAGTGCTGGGATTATAGGCGTGAGCATGCAGCACTCCCTGTGCTTTTTAATATATCCTTGTAAGAAAATTTCATTTTATAACAGTATAACCAGCAATACAAAGTATATTTTTAATCCAGACTCCTGAGGACAAGTGTCTGAATTTATCATCCATATAAGTATAGAGAAGAAATAAACAAGCAACCATGTGTTAAAAGAAAGTTAAACGTTTGGATAGTAATGTTGATTTAAATATAATTCTCTGGCAATGGAAAGTTGTCTTATTTACAGCCCTTGAGAGTTTGCAAAAAGTCACTATGAATACACAGCAACTGTACAAAGGATAAATGTCAGAATGCAAAGGACCTTTAGTTTATTTTCTTTACATTTTTTTTTTTTTTTTGAGACACGGTCTCTCTCTGTCCCTCAGGCTGGAGTGCAGTGGCGCGATCATAGCTCACTGCAGCCTTGAACTTCTGGACTCAAACGATCCTCCTGCCTCGGCCTCCCAGAGTGCTTGAAACTGCAGGCATGACTGCTGCACCTGGTATCACTTTTTTTTTCTTTTAATCAGCTGAATTTAAGATTTGTCCATCGGCCGGGTGTGGTGGCTCACGCCTGTAATCCAAGCACTTTGGAGGCCAAGGTGGGCGGATCACCTTAGGTCAGGAGTTCAAGACCAGCCTGACCAACATGGTGAAACCCTGTCTTTTTAAAAAAATAAAATAAAAAAATAAAAATTAAAAATTAAAAAGATTTGTCCATCTAATTGTTACTTTACCTATTTGCCCCTACATTTTTATTAGGGGAATTCCACAGTTATAATAATGGCACGTGAATAATAAAACATTTATTTTTCTCTTCTAATATATTTTCTTAAGATGGGGTTTCACCATATTGGTCAGGCTGGTCTTGTCAAAGTGCTAGGATTACAGGCATGAGCCACCGTGCCCAGCCTCTTCTAGTATCTTTAACAAGAGATTTTTTATTTGAACCACATTAAGCAGATATCAATAAGACAATCTTACAGCTAATTGTACTCCTTAAAAGTCTCTATTCACTAATCCTTGATGCCTAGACTAACATTCCCTAGAAAATACTGATAAAGGCCAGGAGCAGTGGCTCACACCTGTAATCCCAGCACTTCGGGAGGCCAAGGCAGGTGGATCACCTGAGCTTAGGAGTTCAAGACAAGCCTGGCCAACATGGTGAAACCCTATCTCTACTAAAACTACAAAAACTTAGCTGGGTCTGGTGGTGCGTGCCTGTAATTCCAACTACTCAGGAGGCTGAAGCAGGAGAACTGCTTGAACCTGGAGGCAGAGATTGCAGTGAGCTGAGGTCACACCATTGCACTCCAGCCTGGGCAACAGAGCAAGACGCCCTCTCAAAAAAAAAAAAATTGTACGTGGAGGGCTGTAGCCAGGTGCCCTGGCAACCTAGCATTTCTCCACGTAGGCTAAAGAGTCAAAGCTTGAGAGCAGTCATCTGAATCCTGGTGTCCTGCCCTGGCATTCTCTCCTGGAACACAGCAGTCTTGTGAAGAGCTATCATAAAGCTGTTTCTTTTTTTTTTTTTTAATTTTTTATTGCATTTTAGGTTTTGGGGTACATGTGCAGAACATGCAAGACAGTTGCATAGGTACACACATGGCAGTGTGTTTTGCTTCCTTTCTCCCCTTCACCCACATTTGGCATTTCTCCCAGGCTATCCCTCCCCAGCTCCCCCCACCACTGGCCCTCCCCCTTTCCCCCCAATAGACCCCAGTGTTTAGTACTCCCCTCCCTGTGTCCATGTGTTCTCATTTTTCATCACCCGCCTATGAGTGAGAATATGCGGTGTTTCATTTTCTGTTCTTGTGTCAGTTTGCTGAGGATGATGTTCTCCAGATTCATCCATGTCCCTACAAATGACACTAACTCCTCATTTCTGATTGCTGCATAATATTCCATGGTGTATATGCGCCACATTTTCCCAATCCAGTCTATCATCGATGGGCATTTGGGTTGGTTCCAGGTCTTTGCTATTGTAAACAGTGCTGCAATGAACATTCGTGTGCATGTGTCCTTATAGTAGAACGATAAAACTGTTTCTTTTCTGCCTCCCAGATGAGAATAATTCTCTCTCTCTTTTTTTTTTTTAAAAAAAGACAGAGTGCAGCAGCACAATCTCGGCTCACTGTAACCTCCACCTCCCAGGTTCAAGCAATTCTCGTGTCTCTGCCTCCCAAGCAGCTAGGACTACAGGCTCGAACCACCATGCTCAACTAATTTTTTGCATTTTTAGTAGAGATGGGGTTTCACCATGTTGGTCAGGCTGGTCTCGAACTCCTGGCCTCAAGTAATCCACCCACCTCGGCCTCCCAAAGTGCTGGGACTATAGGCGTGAGCCACCGCAGCCAGCTGACTTCATTGAAATTTTATAAAACGGCTTGGCTGTAGTTTAGAGGACTGTCATCCATGACAAAGCGAGCCGCCATGCAGGTTTTGTGTCTTTTGGTTCAGTGTCATCCTCTGGGATGACACAATACTGACCTTGCTTTCACTGTATGTACATAGTAAATCCTTCTGTGGCTGGGCGTGGTGGCTCACACTTGTAATCCTTAACACTTTGGGAGGCTGAGGCAGGAGGAATGCTTAAGTCCAGTACCCAGACCAGCTCAGTCATGGAGACCCCAACCCAGGCAGCGCTGAAGGAGTTAAGAAGCAGACACAAAAATCGAGCGCAAAAGTGGAAATCAGAGAGGGGCGTCAGGGGGCTGACAGCATTTCCCAGTTGAAAGCCCAGAGCAGACTCTGATGAATGTATTTATTCTTTGTGAACAAGTGATTATTTTTAATAAGCAGGTGTTCAGTGTTTTTTCATATAATAAAGATAGACTAAACAGGCAGATAGTGACTGTTCACTACTAAAATAGAAATAAGCTAGAAAGCACTCTTCCTGAGTCAGCAGTGGTGACAAGGTCATGTATCCTGTGCTTTGGGAACCAGTTTCACTAGTGCATGACTGGTATATATTGCTAACTATTCCAGCAGTTTTCTGCCTGGGGATGGCTTGGTGTTCCTTGCCATCGTTTCTCAGTAAACAACATACAATCTATCACACATACGTCAAGATTTTCTCCCAGCAATCCAGGAATTCAAGACCAGCTGAAGCAGCATAGCAAGACCCCATCTCTGCAAAAAATAAAAATAGAATTGTCAGACATGGTGGCACATACCTGTAGTCCCAGCTACTCAGGAGGCTGAGGTGGGAGGATCACTTGAGCCTGGGAGGTCGAGTGAGCTGTGAGCCTGCAGTGAGTGATTGTGCTACTGAACTCATGCTTGGGTGACAGAACCAGACAGTGTCTGAAAAAAATAATAAATAAAAATGAGTTTGTTGTCTCTTTACCAGCCTAATCTATAGAAATGTGACAAGCCAACTTAACTGTGCGGTTCTTAACAACTGCTCAGCCGCTTGACAAATTGGCCAACATGAACCAAGTAAGGTTACACTGTCTTTTTAGAGAGAAGACAGAGGAGCTCCCCAAGCCAAGTTAAGGGCAGTGAGGAGACAGCCCCCCACGGCCCACCCAGGTCTAATCACACATGCTTTCTTTTCAGGGCACTGCCACGTGTAAAAAGCACTCATAGGGAAAACTCTACTACCATTTGTCACCAGTGGGTGAGTTCTCAGTGCAAGTGCCTCTACCCTCTGATGTCTGGAGCTCTCACTACATAGCTGATATTCTGTTGGGTGGCGATTCAAAAGCGTTAGTCTTGACCGGGCAAAGTGGCTCATGCCTGTAATCCCAGCACTTTGGGAGGCCGAGACGGGTGGACCACTTGAGGTCAGGAGTTTGAGACCAGCCTGGCCAACATGGCAAAACCCCGTTTCTACTAAAAATACAAAAATAATTAGCTGGGCTTCATGGTGGGTACCTCTGATCCCAGCTACTCGGGAGGCTGAGGCAGGAGAATCTCTGGAACCCAGGAGGCAGAGGTTGCAGTAAGCAGAGATCGCTCCCCTGTACTCCAGCCTGGGCGACACAGCAAGACTCCATCTCAAAAAAAAAAAAGTCTTAGTCTCAATAGCCCCAGCTAAGGTGTGATCTCGCCTCCACCAGCAGGAGTAGCTGGCCAGCCTCAACAAAATTGAGTCCTGTTTGCCAAGTAAAGTTTCTTATACTGAATCTGCAGGGGTGGATTCAAAATACTCAGCTCTCTGGAAGCCAAGAGGGGGAAAAAACCGCTGTTTGTTACACAGTAGAGAACTCTGTTTCTGATTAGAAAACTACTGTTGCACGCCAGACCATCAGTCCATTAGTCTTGTGGTTCCAGAGTCCCCATTACACTGGGCATTGGCCCCCACCTGCTCCTAATAGATTGACCACATCGAACCTGTGACATCCTCTCAGGTTCTCAGTGGTGCCTCACCACGGTTGATACTGTTACAGTAGGTGGTCCGGCAGACACAAGCAGGGCAGGAGAGCCCCCATCCCCCACCCCCAGGAATGTCAGTCAGGTGACCATCAAGTGACGGTCAGGCGGTTGTTAAACTGTTTTTCTAAAATGATCATTGGTTGCAGTTGGCACCAGAGAAAGGTGGGCTCCCAATAAATAGAAAACACCTGAAGCTGATAATCAACAGCTTACCAATAAAGAGTTGGGAGAATGGGCTCAAGCATGCGCACTAAGAGGAGGAGTGTAGCTGGTATCTGACCATCTGGATGATAAGGGAAGAACGCCTCAACTCCAGTAAACACAGTGTGCATGTGACCCCTCCCAGGTGCTGGCAGGCCACTGTGCATAGGGACAGCCCACCCCAAGGGAATAATCAAGGGAAAAGGGACACAAGACCCCAGAAGCATGCCAAAGTATAAAATCCCAAGTCAAAGGTCAAACCATGCACTTGACTCTATTTATTTATTTATTTATTTTGAGACAAGAGTCTCACTCTGTTGCCCAGGCTGGAGTGCAGAGTGGCACGACCTCAGCTCACTGCAGCCTCCAACCCCCGGGTTCAAGCGATTCTCCTGTCTCAACCTCCTGAGTAGCTGGGACTACAGGCACCTGCCATCACGCCCAGTTAATTTTTGTATTTGTTGTACAAACATAGTCTTGCTATGTTGCCCAGGCTGGTGTCAAACTCTTGGATTCAAGCAATTCTCCCACCCCAGCTTCTCAAGTGTTGGGATTATAGGTGTGAGCCATCATGCTCGGCCTTCTCTTGATTACATTCAATGTTCTCAGTGGAGAAATGCCACAAATAAAACAGCAGCTGTGGGATAGGACACAAGCAGGAGTCCACCTGGCTTCCTCCGCCCAGCCATGTGGTATCAGTAAAATAACACAAGATAGGGGAGGGGTGGGGAGACCATCATTGTATTAAACAAAAAACCTAATAGAGATGGCAGTGCTCTGAATAAAACAATCCAACAGACCAGTCAGGTCTGATGCGCCTTTTGAATGCCAGAGACTGACAATTATGCAAACTGGAGCCTGTGGCAAAAAGAAGTTGCCACTATGCCATGCTGGCCCCTGGGATTTTGCACATGGCACTTGCCTTGATACATGGAGATTCCTGAGGCTAACAGGATCTGATTCACAGACAGATCAGCTAAGTGAAAGTCTGATGAGATGCCCTGGGCCATTTGCAGTAGTGCAACCACACACACACACAAACTCTGTTTAAAACTTTGCACCCTGGGCAAAATAGTCAGCACCCATCTCTACAAAAAATAAAAATTTAGCCAGGCATAGTGGTGTGTGCCTGTAGTCCCAGCTGCTTGGAGGCTGAGGTGAGAGGATCGCTTGAGCCCAAGAGGTTGAGGCTGCAGTGAGCTGAGATTGTGCCCTGCACTCAGGTTGGGTAATAGAGTGAGATCCTGTCTCAAAACAAAACAAAACAAAACTTTGCATCATGCAAACCCAGAAGGGGAGAAGATCTTCCACTCCTAAGGGCAGCACCAAGACAAATAGAGCAGAAGGCCTACCAACACCTGAAGCTGAAAAAGGTCCTCCCACCTCCCAACTCCACATCTCTCATCCCCTACCCAGCAGCATCAGTTGGAACTGGGGAAGCAACATCTACCCCTGGCAGCAATAGAGACTGAGATAATGCCCTAATGGAAGCAGGCAAATGAAACAGACAAGAAGGACACTGCAAGGTCTCTGAAAACTACATTGCCATTGGGGGCTGGATGTGGTGGTTCACAGCTGTACTCCCAGCACTTTGGGAGCGTGAGGTGGAAGGACCACTTGAGCCCAGGAGTTTCAGACCAGCGCAGGCAACACAGCAAGACCTCATCTCTAATAAAAATTAAAATATTAACCAGGCATGGTGGGACGTGCCTGTAGTCCCAGCTACTTAGGAGGCTGAAGCAGGAGGGTCCCTTGAACACAGGAAGTCAATGCTGCAGAGGGCTATGATCATACCTCTGCACTCCAGCCTGGGCAACAGAGCAAGATTTTGTCTCTAAGAAAAAAAATTTTTTTTAAGACAGTCTCGCTCTGTCGTCCAGACTGGAGTACAGTGGCGTGATCTCAACTCACTGCACCGTCCGCCTCCTGGGTTCAAGTGATTCTCCTGCCTCAGCCTCCCGAGTAGATAGGATTACAGGTGCCCACCAATATGCCTGGCTCATTTTTGTATTTTTAGTAGAGATGGGGTTTCACCATGTTGGTCAGGCTGGTCTCTAACTCCTGACCTCGTGATCCGCCCGCCCTGGTCTCCCAAAGTGCTGGGATTACAGACGTGAGTCACCATATCCAGCAAGAAACTTTTTAAAATTGTCATTGGAACCATAGCCCCAAAAGGTCAAGACCTGCATGCTAAACCTAAACAGAAGGACTGCCTACTAAAATAGAAGATTTAAATAGGATCCTGAATGTCCTAGCATATAGACAGAATGTCCAAGATACAATAAAAAATCAGATGTCGTACCAAAATCCAGAAAAGTCACATTGTAAATAAAAGAAAACCATCAGCAAAAGTCAATAGTGGCTCATATCTATAATCCCAGCACTTTGGGAGGCCGAGGTGGGCAGATCACTTCAGCCCAGGAGTTCAAGACCAGCCTGAACAACATGGTGAAACCTCATCTCTACGAAAAAAAAAAAAAAAAGAAAAATTAGCAAGGCATGGTGGCACGTGCCTGTAGTCCCAGCTACTTGGGAAGCTGAGCTGGGAGGATCACCTGAGCCCAGGTAAGTTGAGGCTGCAATGAGCCATGATTGTGCCACTGCACTCCAGCCTGGGTGACAGGGTAAGACTCTGTCTCCATAAAAAACAAAAAACAGGCTGGGTGCGGTGGCTCACGCCTGTAATCCCAGCACTTTGGGAGGCTAAGGGCAGTAAATCACTTGACATCAGGAGTTCGAGACCAGCCTGGCCAACATGGTGAAATCCAGTCTCTACTAAAAATACAAAAATGAGCGGGACGCGGTGGCGGGCACCTGTAATCCCATCTACTTGGGAGGCTGACGCAGGAGAATTGCTTGAACCCAGGAGGTGGAGGTTGCAGTGAGCCAAGACTGTGCCACTGCACTCTAGCCTGGGTGATAGAACGAAACTCACTCTCAAAAAAAAAAAAAAAACTAACTAAAATAAATAAATAAATAAACAGAAGCCAACAGCAATATGAATCAGATGCTGGAAGTATCTGACAAGGATTTTAGAGCAGTCGCCATAAAAATGATTCACTGGCCAGGCGCGGTGGCTCACGCCTGTAATCCCAGCACTTTGGGAGGCCTAGGTGGGTGGATCACCAGGTCAAGAGATCGAGACCATCCTGGTCAACATGGTGAAACCCCGTCTCTACTAAAAATACAAAAAATTAGCTGGGCACGGTGGCGCATGCCTGTAATCCCAGCTACTCAGGAGGCTGAGGCAGGAGAATTGCCTGAACCCAGGAGGCAGAGGTTGTGGTGAGCCGAGATTGCGCCATTACACTCCAGCCTGGGTAACAAGAGCGAAACTCCGTCTTAAAAAAAAAAGATTCACTAAGGAATTACAAATAAACTGGAAACAAAAGAAGAAACAGAAATTCTTGTGCCAGGTGTGGTGGCTCACACCTGTAATCCCAGTATTTTGGAAGGCCAAGGCAGTTGGATCATTGGAGTCCAGGAGTTCGAGACCAGCCTGGGCAACATGGTGAAGACCCACATCTACAAAAAGTAGCAGAGTATGGTGGTGTGCCCCTGTGGTCCCAGATACTGGGGAGGCTGAGCTAGGAGGATCGATTGAGCCCAGGAAGTTGAAGCTGCAGTGAGCTGTGATTGCACCACTGTACTCCAGCCTGGGCGATAGAATGAGACCCTGTTTCAAAAAAAAATTCTTACCATATAGATGATATAGAAAAAGAACCAAATAGAAATGACAGAACTAAAAATTATAAATGAAAGTTAAAACTGGTGCAAAAGTTTCAATATGCAGGGTGACTATGACAGAGAAGTGATCTTGCAGACAGAACAGTAGAAATTGTCCAATCTGAACAACAGAGAGAAAATACACTGAAAAAAAGATGGACAGAGTCTGAGAGACCTACGGAGCAGTAACAAAGATCTAAGATTTATATCACTGGACTGGACTTACACAAGTAGACAAGAAATAGAGATGAAAAAAATATTTGAAAAAATAATCGCTGAAAGCTATGTGTATATATATGTGTACATTTTTTTATTTTTTCTGAGACAGAGTCTCTCTCTGTTGCGTAGGCTAGAATGTAGTGGTGCGATCTCAGCTCACTGCAACCTCTGCCTCCGGGGCTAAAGCGATTCTTCTGCCTCAGCCTCCTGAGTAGCTGAGACCACAGGCGTGTTCTACCATGCCCAGCTAATTTTTTTTTTTTTTTTTTTTTTTTTTTTTGTAGAGACGTGGTTTTACCATGTTGACCAGGCTGGTCTCAAACTCTGGACCTCAGGTGATCTGCTTGTCTTGGCCTCCCCAAGTGCTGGGATTACAGGTATGAGACAGTGCGCCCGACCCAAGTTTCCCAAATTTGGCAAAGGGCATGAAGCTACAGATTTTAAAAGCTGAGCAAACCCCAGTATAATAAATTAAAAAAAAAAAACATGCCCATAGGTCATCATTAAACCTCTAAACACTAAAAACAAAGGAAAACCCTTGAAAGCAGCTAGAGAGAAACAACACATGAGGCATAGGGGACACTGATTAGAATGACAGTGGTGGTGTCATCTGAAACTAACAAAACTAAAAGTAAGTGGCACGACATTTTTCAAGTACTGCAATAACTGTCAACTGAGAGTCCTACATTGGGCAAAAGTATTTTTCAGGAACGAAAGGCCATGGAAAACTAAAACAATTCTGTGTTAATCAGTTCAGGCTGCCATGATGAAATATCATAGACTGGGTGGCTTGAACAACAAGAATTCATTTCTCACAGTTCTGGAGGCTGGGAAGTCCAAGAGCTAGGCACTAGCAGGTCTGGCATCTGGTAAGGGCTGCTCTCTGCTTCTAAGATGGTGTCTTGAATGCTGCATCCTCTGGAGAAGGGTGACACTTGTGTCCTCACATGGCAAAAAAGGGGTAAGGTCCAAAAAGGAGGCATTCCCTCCATCAAGCCCCTTTCTTTTTTCTTTTCTTTCTTTCTTTATTTTTTTCTGTTTTTTGAGATGGAGTTTCACTCTTGTTGCCTAGGCTGGAATGCAGTGGCATGATCTCGGCTTGCTGCAACCTTCGCCTCCCAGGTTCAAGTGATTCTCCTGCCTCAGCTTCTCTAGTAGCTGGGATCACAGGCACGTGCCCCCATGCCCGGCTAATTTTGTATTTTTAGTAGAGATGGAGTTTCTCCATGTTGGCCAGGCTGGTCTCGAACTCCCGACCTCATGTGATCCACTTGCCTCAGCCTCCCAAAATGCTGGGATTAGAGGCATGAGCCACCACGCCTGGCCCATGAAGCCCTTTTCTAACAGCATTAATCTGTCAGAAGGGCAGAGTCCACATGACCTAAACACCTCCCAAAAGACCCCACTGGCCAACACTGCTGCACTGGGGATCAAGTTTAGATAAGAATTTTTGGAAGGGACAAAAACATTCAAATCATAGCAGTGACATGCTCAAAAATTATGTAAATAACTCAAAATGGAATTCTAAAAACAAGGGTCATGTACCCCAAGGAAGGCAAAGGGAGAAAAACAAAGGAATGAGAATCAGAGGGAACAAAAAGAAAAAATAATAAAATACACAAATTTAAATCACAATGAGCTATCACCTCACACCTGTCAGAACGGTTATTATCAAAAAGATGAAGTTGGACTCAGCAGTGGATGCCTTTTGTATCAGCTAGTAGGGAGGCTGAGTTGGGAGGATCACTTGAGCCCAAGAGTTTTAGGCTAGCCTGGGCAACATAGTCAGACCCCCATCTCTAAAATAAAAATAAAATATAATTTTTAAAAAGATGAAAGATAAATGCTGGTAAGAATATGGAGAACATGGAACCCTTACACACAGTTGGGGAGAATGTAAACCAGTACAACCATTATGGAAAACTGTATGGAGGTTCATTAAAAATTTGAAACAGAACTGCCATATGATCCAGCAATCCCACTTCTGAGTATACATCCAAAGGATTTGAAATCAATATGTTAAAATGATATCGGCGGTTTTATGTTAATGGTATCATTATTCACAATAGCCAAAATAGGGAATCAACCTGTGTCCATCAGCGCATGAATGGATAAAAAAAAATGTGGTAAATACACAAAATGGAACGCTATTCAGCCTTTAAAAGCCAGGAAATTCTGTCATTTTCACTAACATGAATGAACCTGCACGATATTATGCTAAGTAAAGTAAGACAGACACAGAAAGACAAATATCACATGTTCCCACTTACGTATGAAATCTAAAACAATCAAATTCATAGAAGCAGAAAATAGAATCATAGGGCTGAGGGTGGTGGCTCACGCCTGTAATCCTAGCACTTTGGGAGGCCAAGGCGGGTGGATCCCCTGAGGTCAGGAGTTTGAGAACAGCCTGGCCAACAGGGCAAAACCCTGTCTCTACTAAAAATATATTTAAAAATTAGCTGAGTGCTGAGTGTGCTGTCACATGCCTATAGTCCCAGCTACTTGGGAGGCTGAGGCAGAAGAATCGCTTGAACCCACGAGGCAGAGATTGCAGTGAGCCAAGATCATGCCACTGCACTCCTGCATGGGTGACACAGCGAGACTCCCTCTCAAAAAAAAAGGAAAATAGAATTGTAGTTACCAGCAGCTGAGACTCCCTCTCAGAAAAAAAATAAAATAGAATCATAGTTACCAGCGGCTGAGGGTGAGGGGAATGGGGAGATGTCAGTCACAGGGTACAAGGTTTCAGTTAGACAAGGGAAAGTTTTTTGACAGCTATTGCATAGTATGATGACTATAATTAATGAGAGCATATAGTATATTTTAAAATTGCTAACCGAGTAAATTTCAAATTCCTCATCACAAAAAAAGACAAGTATTTGAAGTGATGAATATGTTAATTAGATTGATTTAGTCATTCCACGTTGTATACCTATATCGTAACATCACTTTGTATCCCATAGACATATACAATCGTAATTTGCCAATTTGCAATAAAAATAAATCGCAGACACAAGTCTAAACATATTATTAATTACTTAAAAATGTCCTTTTTTTTTCTTTTTGAGACAGAGTCTTGCTCTTTCACCCAGGCTTGAGTGAAGTGGCGCAATCCCAGCTCACTGCATTTGCCTCCCAGGTTCACGGGATTCTCCTGCCTCAGCCTTCAGAGTTGCTGGGATTACATTTGTACACTACCTCACCTGGCTAATTTTGTATTTTTAGTACAGAGGGGATTTCGCCATGTTGGCCAGGCTGTTCTCGAGCTCCTGACCTCAGGTAATCTGCCCTCCTTGGCCTCCAAAAGTGCTGAGATTACAGGCATGAGCCACCGTGCCCAGCCAAACTTGGCAAAGTAAACTTCAAAATTGATAGAGACCTGTCTGGGATACTTTTTGGTTTACACCTCCTTACGAGGCTACACCTTACCTGGTCCTTTGGCTAAGGGGGTGAAGCTTCCCTGGGTCTCTGGGTCTTTTGTTTGTTTGTTTGTTTAGAGGTGGCGGTCTTACTATGTCGCCCAGGTAGGATTTGAACTCCCGGGCTCAAGCGATCCTCCCGACCCAGCCTCCTGGATAGCTGGACTGCAAGCACGCACCGCTGTATCCGCCAGGCTTTCCTGGGTCTTTTTTGTCTGCACCACTCGGTGTTCTGGGTAGCTGGTTTCTTCAGCACCTGGTCTTGGATACATAAGAAAACCCACAGGGCTCAGCACCATGTCATTTCACAAGTCTTACTCCCTAGCCATCTCCTGTCACAAGAATCACTTGAACCCAAGAGGTGGAGGTTGCAGTGAGCCGAGATCATGGCACTGCACTCTGGCCTGGGCAACAGAGGGAAGCTCAGTCTCGAAAAAAAAAAGATTAAAAAAAGTTTACTTGCCAAGGTTAAGGATAATGCCTGGGAGATACATCTGTGCCTTTCTCCAAAGATGATTTTGAGGGCTTCGATATTTAAAGGGGAAAGTGGGCTGGAGGGGGAAGAGGGAGGGTATGGTCATCCACATGTTGCAGGAGAAAAGGAGCAGGTGGGGAAATAGTCTATTAGGTATTCAGTGTACACTCAGTAAATCACTTCACATAAGATAAGAGAGTGAGAGCACAGAGGTAGCAACCCCTATATATATAAAATATATATATATAAATATATATAATATATAAATATATATAATATATAAATATATATAATATATAAATATAATATATATATATTTTTGAGACGGAGTTTCGCTCTTGTTACCCAGGCTGGAGTGCAATGGCACGATCCTGGCTCACTGCAACCTCCGCCGCCTGGGTTCCCACAGTGCTCCCAAAGTGCTGTTGATTACAAGAGTCAGTTACCCTGCCCGGCCCATATGTATCAATTTTGACATTTACCTTTCTTTCTGAAAGGAAAGGAAAAAGGCAGGACCCCAGTTCACTCTGCCAAAAGAAAACAAGTGGAAAGCTGAGTCTTGCAATTAGCTGTCTTTTGTTCCTAAGCCAGTAGCTACAGACAAAAGGTTAAATATCTCTAGGGGGGCCGTACGCGATGGCTCACACCTGTAATCCCAGCGCTTTGGGAGGTGGAGGCGGGTGGGTCACGAGATCAAGAGATCGAGACCATCCTGGTCAACATGGTGAAACCGTGTCTCTACTAAAAATACAAAAATTAGGTGGGTATGGTGGCACGTACCTGTAATCCCAGCTACTTGGGAGACTGAGGCAGGAGATTTTCTTGAACCCGGAAGGCAGAGGTTGCAATGAGCAGAGATCACATCACTGCACTCCAACCTGGGTGACAGAGACTCTGTTTTAAAAACAAAAGACTTCACTACCAATTATCTCTGAGGGAGGGTTCATCTGCATAGCAAGGCCACCTTTGCCAGCTAAACCTCTTCTCCCCCTCCCATAATCTGGGTGACCAGAATCTGAACCCCCATTCTTTCTGTAACCTCATAGTGATATTTAAGGAGGCTCCCATGTACATAGGTTAAATACATCTGGATGCCCTGTCTCCTGTTAATCCACGTACCTCGTGTCAGTGATTTTCAAAGAACCTTTAGGGGGCCAACAGCCTATGGTCCCCACATTTGAATTTCTGGCCATGAGTGATCTTCCAGCTAGCTAAAGGTTTCATCCAGGGGAAAAAGAATCAAAGAGATTATTTTCATTTGATGAGGAGATATATAAAAGGGATTCAGGCTGGGCAAGGTGGCTCACACCTGTAATCCCAGCACTTTGGGAGGCTGAGGCGGGCGGATCACCTGAGGTCAGGAGTTTGAGACCAACCTGACCAACATGGAAAAACCCCGTGTCTACCAAAAACACAAAATTAGCCAGGCATGGTAGCACATGCCTGTAATCCCAGCTACTCAGGAGGCTGAGGCAGGAGAATCACTTGAACCCAGGAGGCAGAGTCTGCAATGAGCGAAGACCATACCATTGCACTCCAGCCTGGGCAACTCGGTCTCAGAAAAAAAAAAAAAAACGGGGGGGATTCAGAATTGATATGGTTTAGTCGTGGAGATATGTGCTAGCCTATGTGACTCTGGCCTAAAATTAACCATACTGTTTCTTTCCTTTCTTCTTTTTTCTTCCTTTTTTCTTTTTTGAGACGGAATCTCGCTCACTCAGGCTGGAGTGCAGTGGCTTGATCCTGGCTCACTGCAACCTCTGCCTCCCTGGTTCAAGCGATTCTCCTGCCTCAGCCTCCCAAGTAGCTGGGATTACAGGCATGTGTCATGACGCCTGACTAATTTCTGTATTTTTGGTAGAAACAGGGTTTTGCCATGTTGGCCAGGCTGGTCTCAAACTCCAGACCTCAGGTCATCTACCCGCCTCTGCCTCCCAAAGTGCTGGGATTACAGGCGTGGGTCACCACGCCCAGCCAAGTTTTTCTATGTTCTCTTAGAGTAGGGCCCAGCAAACCATGGCCTATGACCAGATATGGGCCACTGTTTTTGTTTTTGTTTTGAGACGAAGTTTCGCTCTTGTCACCCAGGCTGGAGTGCAATGATAGGATCTTGGTTCATTGCAACCTCTGCCTACTGGGTTCAAGTGATTCTCCTGCCTCAGCCTCCAGAGTAGCTGGGATTACTGGTGCCCGCCACCATGCCCAACTAATTTTTGTATTTTTGGTAGAGACCGGGTTTCACCATGTTGGCCAGGCTGGTCTTGAACTCCTGAGCTCAGTGAACCACTGTTTTTGTAAATAAAGTTTTATTGGAACACAAAAAAGTCATTAGCATTTCTATATACTATGACCAAAATTTGAAACACAATACCATACACAATTTTTTTTTAAGAAGAAAGAGAAAGAAAAAGAGGAAAAAAGAGGGAAAAAGAGAAAAAAAAGGGAAAAAGAAATATTACTTCATTCCTAAAATGGGTATCAATAATGGCCGATCAATATTTTGTGTGTTTAAAGTGGATAATATATATTTTGTGTGTTTAAAATGGAGAGCTCTATTGAGTTTATTTGTTCTGGATCTGAGTTCAAGTCCTGGATATCGTTATCAGTTTTCTGTCTCGTTAAATCTAAATCTCATTATGGATCTTACGTATCTGGGTGTTAAGATCTCTTATTATTACATTAATCCTTTTACCCTTGTATCCTTCTAGCTTTGAAATCTATTTTATTAATTGTGAGAATTGCAACTCCTGCTTTTTATTTATTTTTGCTCTCCATTTAATTGGTAAGTTTTTTTCCAACCCTTTATTTTGAGTCTTTGTATATCTTTAGATATACCGTTAGATTTTGTCTGTATCTTTTGATTGGGGGATTTAGTCGATTTAAATTTAGGGTTACTGCCATTTGATATTAACTGGCTATTTTATCCTTTCGTTGATGTAAATTCTTCTTTATGTTAATCCTCTTTACTTTTTGGTGTATTTTTAGAAAGGCTCATACTGGTTGTTCCTTTCTATGTATAATGCTTCTTTTAGAAGTTCTTGTAAAGCAGGCCTGGTAGTAATAAAATCTCTGAGTACTTGCTTGTTCCTAAAAGATTTTATTTTTCCTTCAAATGTAAAGCTTAAATTGGCAGGATATGAAATTCCGGGCTGAAAGTTCTGTTCTTTAAGTATATTGAATATTGGCCCCCACTCTCTTCTAGCTTGTAGGGTTTCCGCTGAGAGATCTGCTGTAAGCCTAATAGGCTTCCCTTTATGGGTAACCTGATCTTTCCCTCTGGCTACCCTTAATATTTTCTCCTTTGTTTCTATCCTGGTGAATCTAACGATTATGTGCCTTGGGGTTGGTCTTCTTGAGGAATATCTTTGTGGTGTTCTCTGTATTGCCTGGGGTTGAATAGTGTCCTGCTTTGCTAAATTAGGAAAATTTTCCTGGATAATATCCTGAAGAATATTTTCCAGCTTGAATTCATTCTCTCCATCACATTCAGGTACACCAATCAAGCATATATTAGGTCTTTTCACATAGTCCCATATTTCTTGAAGACTTTGCTCATTCCTTTTTATCCTTTTTTCTCTATTCTTGTCGTTTTATTTCATCAAATTGGTCTTCGACCTCTGATATCCTTTCTTCTGCTTGATCCATTCGGCTATTTAAGCTTGTACATATTTCACTAAGTTCTCATGTTGTATTTTTCAACTCCATAAGTTCATTTGTATTCCTCTCTATATTGTCTATTCTTGTCATCATTTCATCGAACCTTTTTTCAAAGTTCTTAGTTTCTTTACATTGGGTTAGAACAAGTTCCTTTAACTCCCAGAAGTTTCTTATCATCCACCTTTTAAAGCCTACTTCGGATAATGGAACACAGTCTTTTTCCATCAGGACTTGTTCTGCTGCTGATGAGTCCTTTTCCATCAGGGCTTGTTCCGTTGCTGATGAGTCCTTTTCCATCAGGGCTTGTTCCGTTGCTGATGGGTTCTGATTTTGGGTATACTCGGCCTTCTTAGGCTGTTTTTTCCCTTCATTGTAGATGAACCGCCTTTCTAATTAGGTTTCTGAGTCGACGTCCGATTTATTGATTCCCAGTGCTGGGATCCGAGCAAGCCACTGTGGCGGCCTAAATAGCAGCGATAAAACTGATGGTGCTCTTCTGCCCGGGAATCTCTGGTCTGGCTTCCCTCTTGAGTCTGCAACAAGCGGCTCTGATTTCCCAGAGCTCCAAACTCCGGTCAGTAGGGGAAGCAGTCCCGTTTGCTCTGCATGAGGAGCTGCTGCGCCTAGACGCCGGCAAAACCGCTGCGGCGGCCACAAGAGTCGCGCTGGCGACCCATGGGGCTCCTCCACTGGGAATCGGCTGATCCGTAAGTGACGAAACTTCGTCTAAAAGTGTGGCGCCATCTCGTTCTCTGAGCTTTCACTGGGAGCTACAATCCCGAGCTGTTAGTGATCGGCCATCTTGGATCCTGAATTCTACCATACACAATTGCTCCAAAGGAATTAAAATACTTAAGGATACAGCTAACAAAACATGTACAGGGTCAGTATGTTAAAAATTACAAAATATAGGCCAGGCATAGTGGCTCACGCCTGTAATTCCAGCACTTTGGTAGGCCAAGGCGGGCGAATCATCTGAGGTCAGGAGTTCGAGACCAGCCTGGCTAACATGGTGAAACCCCATCTCTACTAAGAAATACAAAAATCCGCTGGGCATGGTGACGAACGCCTATAACCCCAGCTACTTGGGAGGCTGAGGCAGGAGAATCACTTGGGCCCGGGAGGTGGAGGTTGCAGTGAGCTGAGATTGCACCACTGCACTCCAGCCTGGGCGACAGAGTGAAACGCCATCTCAAAAAAAAAAAATTATAAAACATAAATGAAAGAAATCAGAGGAGATCCAAATAAATAGAGAGACATCTCATGTTCATGGACTGGAAGCTGGAAGACAACACGGTAAAAAGGGTGGGGTGCAGTGGCCCATGCCCGTAATCCCAGGACTTTGGGAGGCCAAGGTGGGAGGATGGCTTAAGGCCAGGAGTTCAAGCTCAGCTTCAGCAACCTGGTGAATCCCTCTCTCTACAAAAAATACAAAAATTAGTCAGCTTTGATGGGATGCACCTATAGTCCCAGCTACTAAGGAGGCTGAGGTAAGAGGATTGCTTGAGCCCGGGAGAAGATCGTGGCTTCAGTGAGCTGTGATTGAGCCACTGCAGTCCTGCCCGGGTGATAAAGCGAGACCCTGTCTCAAAAAAAATAAAGGCCAGAAAAAGTCAAACCTGCTAGGTTACATTCCCTGAGGGTTGGGCACTCTTGATCACAAGATATTCATGGTTGAAGGAACAAGGATATAATGTTAACTGAATAAAGACCCAGAACTTATGGAAATGTCCTAGTACTTTAAGAACAAAAAGCATTCTTGGTTTAAAAATAGGTTTTGCTTTAGAGATAAGAGTAGCATAGGAAAATATCACAAGCTGATCAGAAATCTTGGCAATAGAGTACACTATTATTTTTATTATTTTATTTTATTTATTTTTGAAACGGGGTCTCACTCTGTCACCCAGGCTGGAGTGCAGTGGCACAGTCTTGGCTCACTGCAACCTCAACCTCCCTGGCTCAGGCAATCCTCCCACCTCAGCCTCCTCAGTAGCAGGGACTATAGGTATGCATGCACTACCACACCTGGCTCATTTTTTTTTTGTACTTTTTATAGAAACAAGGTCTCTCTCACCATGTTGCCCAGACTAGTCTAAAACTCCTGAGCACAAGCCATCCTTTTGCTCCCAAAGTGTTGAGATTCCAGGCTTGAGTCACCACCCCCAGCCTAAAATTCCTCATGACCTCAGACTGGACAAAGTGACATACGTGACACAAAATCACAATCCATAAAAGGAAAATGTGATTAATTGGGCTTCATCAAAACCAAAAATGTTTGCCTGAGAGAGACTCTTTGAAGAGAATGAAAAGACAAGCTACAGACTGGAAAAAATATTTTGACAGTTTCTCATAAAACCACACATGCAACTACCATACTACCCGATATTACATTCCTGGGCATCTTTCCCAGCAAAATGAACACTTACGTTCACACAGAAACCTGTACAAGGAATGGCTTTAGCAACTTGATCCATAACAGCCAAAAACTAATTAGCCCAGATGTCGTTCAGTGAGTGAATGGTTAAATAAATGGTGGTACCTCCATATGATAAATGCAACAGCTTAGCTGGATCTCAAAGGAATTATGCTGAGTGGAAAAAAAAGCCAATCTCAAAGGTTTTATGCTGTGCGATTCCATTTATGTACCATTCTTGAAATAACACAATTACAGAAATGGAGAAGGGATTACTGGTTGCCAAGGAGACAAGGTTGGGGAGAGGGAGCTGTAACAGGCTAGAAGGCAGCTCTTTGTGCTGAGGGAATGATTCTGAATCTCCATGGTAGTGGTCGTTACACAAATCTACACATGCAATTCGTGTAATGAATTATTTGTGTGTGTGTGCAATGCAATTGCATAGCAGTACACACACACACACACGCACACATACACACACACAGAAATCAGTGCTTTTAAAACTGAAGGAATTTTAATTAAATTGGTGGATTGTACCAGTGTCAATTTTCTCCTTTTGATATTGTACTATAGTTATGCAAAAACTGCATAAATTATTCACAGAACCTTGGTACTTTATTTTTGCAACTTCAACAGAATGTATCATTATTTCTAAATTTTTTTTTTTGAGATGGAGTCTCGCTCTTTTACCCAGGCTGGAGTGCAATGGCATCATCTTTATTCACTGCAACCTCTGCCTTCTGGGTTCAAGCAATTCTCCTGCCTTAGCCTCCCAAATAGCTGGGATTACAACGCCCACCACCATGCCCAGCTAATTTTTGTATCTTTAGTAGAGACAGCATTTCACCATGTTGGTCAGGCTAGTCTCAAACTCCCAACATCAGGTGATCTGCCCACCTCGTACTCCCAAAGTGTTGAGATTACAGGCATGAGCCACCGCACCCGGCCATTATTTCTAAATTAAAAGTTTAGGCCAGGTGCGGTGGCTCATGACGCCTGTAATCCCAGTACTTTGGGAAGCCGAGGTGGGCGGATCACCTGACGTTGGGAGTTCGAGATCAGCCTGACCAACATGGAGAAACCCCGACTCCACTAAAAATACAAAAAATTAGCCAAGGGTGGTGGTGCATACCTATAATCCCAGCAACTCAGGAACTCAGGAAGCTAAGGCAGGAGAATTGCTTGAACCCGGGAGGTGGAGGTTGTGGTGAGCTGAGATTGTGCTATTGCACTCTAGCCTGGGCAACAAGAGTGAAACTCCATCTCAAAAACAAACAACAGAAAATATTAAAAAGGCAGTGGGTGGTGGCTCTCACCTGTAATCCCAGCATTTTGGGAGGCTGAGGCAGGAGGATCGCTTGAGCTCAGGAGTTTGAGACCATCCTGGGCAACATAGGCTGTACAAAAAAAAAAAAAAAGAAAGAAAGAAAGAAAAGAAAAATTAATTAACTGGACATGGTGGCACACACCTGTGGCCCCAGCTATTCAGGAGGCTGAGGTGGGAGAATCATTTGAGTTCTAGAGGTTGAAGCTGCAGTGAGCCATGATTGTGCCACTGCACTCCAACCTGAGCAACAGAGCAAGACCCTGTCTCAAAAAAAAAAAAAAAAAAGATAATTGGATCACTGGATCACCAGCTCTTGTAGAGTATCTATAACAGGCAATATAAGCTGTAAACGTGGCAATTGCCCAAAAAGCATCTCCTATTTGGATGAAATGTTTAATTATGCAGTCAGGGGGAAGAGGAATAGGCCCAGACTGCCTGTAAGAGACCCAAACCACACAAGGAATCCTTTCTACGCTACCTTTATCCCTTCCATGCCCACCTCATGGAAACTGGGTCCCAGGTTTTGCAAGTGGCCTAGGAGAGGTGTGGGGATGGAGCCATTTTAGTCTCTCTTGGGCTCTTGCCTATGGTTCTCTCCTGGCTTCACCTGTCATCTCAGAATGCTTTGGTAACCGTGTCCTAGAACCCAAGTCAAAAAAAAAAAAATGCTGCTGAGGTGGCTAGAAACCTATTAGCAAAATCCAGTGCACTCTGAGGAGACCATAACGGTAAGGCCCTGCTGACTGTAAGTGCTGTCTCAGTCTGTTTGGGCTACTGTAACCAACGGCCACAAAGTGGATAGCTTGTAAACAACAGAAATGGATTTCTCACAGTTCTGGGGGCTGGGAAGTCCAAGACCAAGGCATCAGCAGATTCTGGGTCTGGTGAGGACCTGCTTTCTGGTTCACAGATGATGCCTTCTCACTGTGTCCACACGTGGTAAAAGGGGCCAGCAAGCTTCTTTGGACCTGTTTCATAATGGCACTAGTCCCTAATCACTCAATTATCTTCTTTTTTTTTTTTTTTTGAGATGGAGTCTCACTCTGTTGCCCAGGCTGGAGTGCAGTGGCTCCATCTTGGCTCACTGCAACCTCCATCTTCCAGGTTCAATCTGTTCTCCTACCTCAGCCCCCGGAGTAGCTGGGACTACAGGCACATGCCACCATGCTCAGCTAATTTTTGTATTTTTTAGAAGAGACAGGGTTTCACCATAGTGGAGAGACTGGTCTTGAACTCCTAATCTTGTGATCTGCCCACTTCAGCCTTCCAAAATGCTAGGATTACAGGGGTGAGCCACTGCTCCTGGCCTCAATCATCTTCTAAAAGGCCACACTTCTTAATTCCCATTACCTTGTAGTTAGGATTTCAACAGATGAATTTTTGGGGGTCAGGAGGATGCAAATATTCCGGTCATAATGATAGCCTCATTGTCCTCTTCAGAAGCATTCCAGCCTGCTTTGCAGCTGTTTATTTTTTTTATTGCTTACTTTCATTTTCACTTTTTTTGAGACAGAGTCTTGTTCTGTCGCTCAGGCTGGAGTGCAGTGGCATGCCTTGTCACACTGCAACCTCCACTTCCTGGGCTCAGGTGATTCTCCTGCCTCAGCCTCCGGAGTAGCTGGGATTACAGGCGTGCGCCACCACGCCCAGCTAATTTTTGTGTTTTTAGTGGACACGGAGTTTTACCATGTTGGCTGAGCTAGTCTTGAACTCCTGACCTCAAGTGATCTGCCTGCCTCAGCCTCCCAAAGTGCTGGGATTACAGGCGTGAGCCACCACACCTGGCCTGCAGCTGTTTAATTCTGCTCAAAGAGTTTGTCTCCCATAAGGGACACAAAATTGGTTTATTCCTGTTTTAATACATAATTCTGGCCAGGTGTGGTGGCTTATGACTGTAATCCTAGTACTTCAGGAGGCCAAGGCAGGAGGATGACTTGTGCCCAGGAGTTCAAGACCAGCCTGGGCAACATAGGGAGATTCCATCTCTAAAAAAATAAAATAAATAAACAGGAACAGTAAACCCAATACTACATGTTCTCGCTTATAAGTGGGTGCTAAATAATGAGAACTCACAGACACAAAGAAGGGAACAATAGACACTAAGGCCTACTTAAGTGTGGAAGGTGGGAGGAGAGCGATGATCAGAAAAAATAACTGTTAGGTACTAGGCCAAGTATCTGAGTGATGAACTAATCAGTACACCAAGCTCCCAAGACATGAACTTATGTAACAAACCTGCACATGTACCTGTGAACATAAAATGAAAGTTAATAACAATAATAACAAAACTAGCTGGGCATGCCCATGGTCTCAGCTACTTGGGAGGCTGCAGTGGGAAGATTGCTTAAGCCCAGGAGGTCGAGCCTGACAGAGCAGGAGCGCTGTCATCTCAGACAAACACTGCCACTTTAAATTCCAGCTGCCCTTCCAGCTTCGTTCATTTTAAGGAAATCACTTCTCTTCTCACTACAAGCAGCCAGAAAAGAGCAGACAGCAAAACACAGATAAGACAGCTCAGACACAGAGGAAGGCAGGGAGAAAGTCTCTTGGGTAACTGCCAAACTTCACCCTCGTACAATGTGTCCCTAGTAAAACCGTGGGCCTTCTTAATAGGCACATTCCTTTCCCTTAAGGTGCACTAAGATAAGGAAGCTAAAGGCAGACTCCGGGGATATGCCTGCAGCTGCAGAAAGATACCTGTGAACAGACACACAGCTCTCCCTACCAGGTAAGCACAACAAAAGAGACACAGAAGCAGTCCAAGCCTCTGATAAACTCTCTCACCCTGAATCCTTAAAAACTCTTAGTCTGTAAGAGAGTGTGACTTCTGACCTCACTTGATCAGAAGTTCCTCCCATGTTTAAAATAAACCTGTTGACTGTCAAGCCACCCTTCGTGTTTCTCTCTTCTTTCTTTAATCTTACATTTGATGCTGACACCTGGGACAGGTGTGGGGGCCAGAGACTCTCTTGCAACCCAGGAAGCAATGGGCAATGGCAGTGCATCCTGAGTTAACTCCTGGATCCTGAGGATCTCTGACCACCCACCTTGTCTTTTCTTTCACTTCAATTTTCAAGCAATTTGCATGAGGAGGACAGCTGACCTGAAGGGGACTGCGAGGCTCAGGCTGGGGCTACTCCACGGTGGGCTTTCGAAACTCTCAGGTCTCAGGAATCCACCTCCAACTGCCCATAACAGGTATTTCACTCCCTAACCCTTGCTCGCTCTTCCTCCCTCTCCTTTCTCTCTCTCAATCTCTCTCTCTCTCTCTCTTTTTCTCTCTCCCCGCCCCCCACTCTCTCTCTCTCTCTCTCTCTTCTTTGAGTGGCTCCAGTCTGGGAAGCCTTTTGCTGATTCTAACCGGAACATCTAGCATCGGACACTAATTCAGCCGACTGGTAAGATCTGCCTTCTCCTGGCTTTGTCCCAGTACCACAGAAAGTCCAGGCTGCCGTCCAGGTCCTTGGAGGACCAATAGAACTAAGCTAGAGGAAATCTTGGGGACACCCAGTTTCTTAGCCTAACTGTCCTCTTTCAGAAAGAGGATTCTGGGTCTCTGTCTTTTGTCTGGGGACCTCTAGAACAAAACAGACACCCTCATCTTCCTCTTACCAGACCACAGGGGTGCCAAACAATCCCACATTGCTACATCCTCCCCACTGGGCTGCCCCCTTCACAACCTGGACAAGCTCAGCTTACAGGGGACCCAAAGCCAAAGCATTTAATTTTCTACTGCAACACAGCTTGGCCCCAATACAGATTAGATTACGACAGCCGATGGCCCAACAGTGGCACCTTTAACTTTCAAATTCTCAGGGACCTTGAAAACTTTATAACCAGGAACAGCAAATGATAAGAGATTCTCTATATTCAGGCTTCTTTCTACCTTAGATCCCGACCCTCCCTATGTCAAGCTTGCACCCCTCATGAAATCCTTCTTCTTAATGAAAACCCTCTCCTTTTTCTGGAACCCCTTCCTCCAAAACTCCTTTGGACCCTGCAAACTAACCCTTTCTGTATTCTCAACCCCTGCACCCACTCCTCGCCCACCCATCTCAACCCTCTGCCCCAGCAGCCCCCAACCCTGCCCCTCCTCCTTCTCCACCTGTAACCCGTTCAAAAACTACTCTAGCCAGTTAAACCACGTCAGCCATTCTCCCTCTCCAGGAAGGGGCTGGAGTTAAAGGTAATACTCGCATTCACGTCCCTTTCTCCATGTCTAATATGTCGTAGATCGAACAGCATCTGGGATCTTTCCTGAAAATCTCTCTCATTATCACAGGAAATTCCTGTACATAACCCAATCCTTTAATTTAACTTGGCACAATATTTATATAATTCTAACCTCCACCATCACTCCTGATGAAAAAGAGCTCATCTGGCATTCAGCTGAAACACACGCAGATGAACTCCATAATCAAGCCCCTATACAAAATCCAGTGGCTAATGATGCAGTCCCCCATAGAGACCCAGACTGGACTTACCAACGGGGAGATAATGGCATCAGATGAAGAGACCACATGATTATCTGTCTCCTTGTGAATATGGACAAAAATGCCCATAAAGCAGTTAATTATGAAAAACTTAGAGAAATTACACAAGAGCCTCAAGAAAATCCTGCCCTTTTCTTACCATGCCTCACTGAAGCTATGCTAAAATATACCAATTTGGACCCAGAATCTAGAGAAGGGCAAACTTTCTCTACCTCTAATTTATTTCCCAATCCTCCCCAGATATCCAGAAAAAAATTACAAAAGTTACAAGAGGGTTCCCAGACATCCCGGCAGGACCTCCTAAATGTAGCCTTCCATGTCTTTAACAGCAGAGATGAGGAACAAAAAAATTCAAAAAGACAAACAGCTCTGGTTAAAATACCAGATGCTTGCTTCTGCTACCCAAAAGCCAGTTACACAAAAGCCTCCCAATGACCCAAAAGAAAACTCTCCCACCCTTCTGGGAGTCTGTTTCGGATGTGGCAAGTCTGGACACCAGGCAAAGGCTTGTTCTAACCCCCTGACCCCCGAGCAGATCGTGTCCAACTTGTGGTCTTTGGGGACACTGGAAAGTGGACTGCCCCCAATGGGGACATCTGCCCTCTTCGGGTGCAGCTCATAATAAAGCCCCCTGACCATCACAGGAGGAAATCTCTTCACTGCTCGTGCTGACAACGGAAGACTGAGCGTGCCCAGAATCCTTCGCCTCCACGCCTCCTGAGTCCACGGAACCCAGGGTCTTACGGTGTCAGGTAAGATTATTTCCTTTCTTTTGGGTACCGGGACGAGTCTATTGGTGTTATCTGAATATCAAGGCCTATTAGAGAGTTCATCCGTTTCTGTTGTTGGCGTGAAGGGCATACAAGAAACCCCATACAAAATGCCACCTCTATACTGCTCATTCAGGAAGTCACCCTCACTCACTCTTTCTTGATCATTCCTCATTGCCCCACTCCTTTCCTAGGAAGGGATATCCTACACAAATTAGGGGGAATCATTCATTTATGGGTCCGGCACCAAAGCCACACTTACTTATTATTATGTCAAAAACAAAACCCCTTCCTCAAACACTCCACATCAAATAAACTTAAAACTCAAATTCCTCAGTCAGGTAAATCCCATAGTATAGAACACTGACCCCCTCATAATGGCATCCCACCATTCTCCCAATTCAGATTTCACTGAAGGATCCTAAGTGCTACAGAGTAGTCCCACAATAGGCCCTCAACCCTAATGGATTATGGAGACTCGAGCCCATCATCTCCTGACTTTTGGCTGCCAGTATTTTAATCCCCACCTATTCTCCCCACAATATTCCTATTCTCCCCATCAAAAAACCAGGTGGCTCCTATAGACTGTTTCAGGATTTGCGATAAATCAACTCCACTATTGTTCCTGTTTGTCCTGTTGTCCCAAACCCCCACACCCTCCTATCTCGAATTCCTCCCAACACTAGGCATTTCTTGGTATTAAACCTCAAAGATGCCTTTTTATTACTATTCCTCTACATCCCTCTTCTCAAAACCTTTTTGCTTTCACTTGGACTGACCCTGACACAGGCTACTCACAACAACTCACATGGACTGTCCTCCCCCAGGGGTTTAGAGACAGCCCTCACTATTTCAGTCAGGCACTTCAACTGGATTTTTCCCAACTATCTCTATAACATAGAGTTTTGCTTCAATATATGGACAGATTACTTCTTTGCAGCACCTCTCTAGAACATTGTATTCAACACACCACCAGGCTTTTAAATTTTTTTTTTTTTTTTTTGAGATGGAGTCTCACACTGTTGCCTGGGCTGGACTGCAGTGGCACGATCTAGGCTTGCTACAAGCTCCGCCTCCCGGGTTCACCTGATTCTCCTGCCTCAGCCTCCCGAGTAGCTTGCATTACAGGTGCACACCATTATAGCCGGCTAATTTTTTTTTGTATTTTTAGTAGAGACGGGATTTCACTATGTTGGCCAGGCTTGTCTCAAACTCCTGACCTTGTGATCTGCCCACCTTGGCCTCCCAATGTGCTAGGATTACAGGCATAAGCCACTGTGCCTGGCTAAATTTTCTGGCTGAATGCAGGTACCAGGTATCAAAAGGGAAGGCTCAATTAATCTCCCCAAAACTTTCATACTTAAGACTAATCATTAACTAGAATAACCAGTAAGGAAAAAAAAAATTTTTTTAAATAGACTAGTCATAGCTCTAAATACCCAAAAATTTTACTGGCTCAAAAGCAAAGCACACAACAAATCTCACTTTCCAAAACAAAAAGGGACTTACTTTCTTTCCTTGGATCAGTGGGATATTTCCAATTATGGATAGCAAATTTTGACATTATTGCTAAACCCCTTTATGAACACATAAAAGGAAATCTTGACCAACTACTCATTTTCACCCCAGACCTTTACCACGCTGTTTCTCACCTAAAGCGTGCCTTATTACAAGCCCCTGCTTTAGGCCTTCCAAACCCCTTGAAACCCTTTCACCTGTATTTACACAGTTCTCATAATCAGGCCCTTGCAGTATTAACTCAACCTATGAGAGATTCCCTCTAACCAGTGGCATATTTTTCAAAACAATTAGACCCCATTTATAAAAGTTGTCCCCTTTGCTTAAAAATTTTGGCCACAGCTTCTCTGATCATCCTTGAGGCAAAAAAAAACTCACATTCTACGAACCCCTTCAGGCATTTTCTTCTCACAGTCTACGAGATATGCTCAGCCATAAGGTGCTCACCTCCATCTCATCCTCTTGCATGCAAGCCTTACACTCAACTCTCCTTCAACCCTCTATCTCTCTTCATCGATGCTCCCCACTAATCATGCCACTCTTTTACCTTCAACACTTACTTTGGACTCCAACCAACACTCATGCTCTAATCTAATAGAAAGTTTGCTCACCATGGTTCACCACCTTACTTCCACTCACATAAAGGGAGCCCCGGATCGGTTTGTAGACAGCAGCACATCAAAAAACCCTCCCCTCCAAGCAGGATATGCCATCACTGAGGGATATCATGATGATGCCCACTCTCCCACCTAGAAGGGTCGTAAAGTCTGCCCCCTTGCCTTTGGGCACATCCTCCCAGCAAGCAGAACTAATTGCCCTAATAAAAGCATTAACCCTAGCAAAGAGCATGCAAGTTAATATATACACCGATTCTTTTTTTTTCTTTTTTTTTTGAGATGGAGCCTTGCTCTGTGGCCCAGACTGGAGTGCAATGGCATGATCTCCACTCACTGCAACTTCTACCTCCCGGGTTCAGGTGATTCTCCTGCCTCAGCTTCCCGAGTAGCTGGGATTACAGGCACACACCACTACACCCGGCTAATTTTTTTGTATTTTTAGTAGAGACTGAGTTTCACTATGTTGGCCAGACTGGTCTTGAACTCCTGACCTCATAATCCGCCCACCTCGGCCTCCCAAAGTTCTGGGATTACACGTGTGAGCCACTGTGCCCAGACATTATATACACCGATTCTAAATATGCCTATAACATCATCCATTCCAATGCCAAATTTGGAGCGAGCGGGGCTATCTCACAGTTAAGGAAACTCCTATAATTAATGAAAAACTAATCCATCATTTGCTAAAGGCAGCTTTACTCTCAGAAAAGGTTGCAGGTAGCCATTGCAAAGGACATCAGTCAAATAACAGCCACATTTCTTTAGGAAACTGTAAAGCTGACTATTGGACAAAACAAGCCTCAACCAATCATCCAGTTCTCCAATACCTATTTCCCCTCATAAAACATATCCCCTTCCTTTTATCCAAAACACCAAACACAACTAATCATGGTGGGGCACAATTCAAACACCCACCCTGGTTCATAGAAAACAAGTTAGTCCTACCTGACCCTGAAAAAACAACTCTTGCCAGGCGTGGTGGCTCACACTTGTAATCCCAGCACTTTGGGAGGCCAAGCCAGGTAGATGACAAGGGTCAAGAGATCGAGACCAGCCTAGCCAACATGGTGAAACTTCATCTCTACTAAAAATACAAAAATTAGCTGAGCGTGGTGGTTGCACACCTGTAGTCACAGCTCCTCGGGAGACCGAGGCAGGAGAACCGCTTGAACTGGGGAGGTAGAGGTTGCAGTGAGCCGAGATTGCACCACTGCACTCCAGCCTGGGTGACAGAGCGAGACTCCCTGTCAAAAAACAAACAAACAAACAAACAACTATTTTACAGGACATTCACAACTTCTTCCACCCTAGCCATTCCCCTCTACATTTCTTAAGTTCCCATACACACATAACCCCAGATATACAGAAACAGCTAATTGGCCCTTCGATGCTCTATTTACCAGAAAGCTTCACCCCACTCCAACACTAAACCCCCTTCTTTGTCAACCCATCAGACCAGGGGACACCTTCCAGGACAGGCTGGCAAATTAATTTTACACGTATGCCCCCAGTAAAAAAGGTTCAATTTTTTTTAATTCTGGTCAATAACTTTTCGGGATGGCTCGAGGCTTTTCCCACAACCAACAAACGAGCTTCTACTGCCACCTCTAAATTAATAACAGAAATCATCCCCAGATTTGGGGTGCCTCTTTCTTTTCAATCTAATAATGGTCCTGAATTCATTTCTCAAATTACTCAAACACTTGCACGTGCTCTACAAATCACCTGAAAGCTACACATCCCCTATTGACCTCAATCTTCAGGAAAGATTGAAAAAATGAATGGCATTCTAAAAGCACCCTCACCAGGTACTCACCCCAAACACATAAAGACTGCATTACACTTTTACCTTTGGCCCTTCTAAAAATTCAGGCGCTCCCATGTAGACTTTTCATGCTCGGCCCCTTTGAACTCATGGATGGGAAACCACTCCTCAGGGTCAGGCCCCACCTCTACATACTATCCGCCATTTCATTTGGGAATATGCTGACAAATACCTGCCATAACCCGTTGCTAAGTCCTCTGATCCCTTCCTACAGCCAGAAGACTGGATTCTCATAAAAAATCCCAATCCTGGCCGGGGACGGTGGCTCACGCCTATAATCCCAGCACTTTGGGATGCCAAGGCAGGTGGATCACAAAGTCAGGAGATCGAGACCATTCTGGCTAACATGGTGAAACCCTGTCTCTACTAAAAATACAAAAATATTAGCCAGGCGTGGTGGCATGCGCCTGTAATCCCAGCTACTGGGGAGGCTGAGGCAGCAGAATCGCTTGAACCCGGGAGGTGGAGGTTGCCGTGAGCCAAGATCACGCCACTGCACTCCAGCCTGGGTGACAGAGTGAGACTCCGTCTCAAAAACATAAAATCGCAGTCCTACCCTCAATTCCCCGCTTATGCCTAAATGGAAGGGACCTTACCAGATCATCCTTACCACACCCATGGCAGCAAAACTCCAGGGACTCCCTAACTGGATTCATTATACTTCTCTCAAAAAAAAAAAAAAAAAAAGAAAAGAAAAAGACTTCCCTTTACCACATACATGCTCAAACAACTGAATCCAAAACTCCTTCAGCTTTCTCTTGTTCCACAGGACCCACTTCCCTTTGCCTCACCCGAATCCCGGAGGAAAAAGAGGAAAAATCCACAAAGCCGCTTATGTCTCTCTCACTTCCTGACTTTCATCGCTTCCTAACCCACCTTGCTGCAGACCTTCAGTGGTACCCTCACGAAGCACCCATTGAACATCCTGATCAGCTCCTTGCTCTTCTACGGGAGCTATGGCTTCAAGGAACTTTCCAGGACTTCACTTCTACCCAAATCACCTTTTTCTCTTTTTGCTTGTTTCTTTTACTGTAAATTCCCTGAATACATCAACCTCACCAATACAACCGCTCCTCACTGCTCTCAAGCTCAGATGCTCTACACACCCTACACAGTCCCTCTTACTGCAGGCTGACTCCTCCCTTGCCTCGGAATGCTGGATGTGCTTATCGCTGACTTCCTTCTTAGCCCTTCCTGCACCCCTTCATGACCTTTTGACTGGAAAGATAACCCCAATTTATAAACTCCAAAATGGAGCTTCCCCGTTTAAAAAAGTTGACTCTCTATTCGGCGATGATCCAATTTCCAGGGCCAATCAGGCTAACAAATTATTCCAAACCTATTAGAACTTTCTTCAATACCTTAAGCCCCAAGGCCCCCCCATTGAAGGTCCTATCACTAAACACAACTTTCATTTTCAACAAGCCTCACTCTGCTTTTCAGACTCTAAGGGCAATCTCCCTGTTGGGTCCTTATCCCCTCACCAATGTAACTGCACTATCATTGTTAAACACCCCTTTGACCACCAAACTAATCGAAGTAACTACCAAGTGTCACCTGAAGCAAAGGGGAGCATTTCTGCAACCTGCTCACTCATTTTCCAGCCTCTCCCTTAGCCAATGTCCCCCGCCTAACCTGTGCTGTCCCTAATGCACACCTTTTCCCATGGCTCAATATTAATGGCTCAGCATCCGACTGCATTACGTGTGTAAAAAGTAACTCTTCCTTTGTTAAATCAAGCAGAAAAAAAAAGAACAAATATAAAATAAAAATAATTTTAAAAAAAAATTTGTTTAAAGTAACTCTTCTTATATCTCTGCTATAGTAGATGCCTCCCTGGCCTCCTCTTTGTCAGTCTGGAATAATAAACCACAGGAAAGAAAAAAAGCACCCCATCTTTAATCCACTTGTTCTTTTTCCATATTTCTTCTTGTGTTTACAACAAAGCCTTGTTCTTTTTGTGTGACACCAACACATGTCTTTGTCTCCCCACTAACTGGACCAGAAGCTCTACACTAGTTTATCTATCTCCCTCCATTGGACTAGTTCTTCCGGACCAGCATTTACCCATCCCATCCGTCCACTATGTTAGAAAAAGAAGGGCCATCCACATCATTCCCTTAATGGGCGCCTTAGGTATAACTTTTGGACTTGGGTTGGGAGCAAGCGGATTGGCCACCTCCCTAACATACATTAAGGCTCTTTCAACAAAACTACAGGGCTCCTTAGAAGATATAGCCCGAAACCTTCTACGCATCCAAGACCAACTAGGCTCCTTGGCTGGAGTAGTGCCCCAAAACAAATGGGGACTAAATCTTCTAACAGCTGGAAAAGGGAGCCACTGCCTTTCATTGGGGAAGTAGTGTTGTTTGCATCTCAAGCAATCGTGCCTAGTAAGAAATGCTGCTAAAAAAATGAAAAAGAAGGGCTAAAAAGCTAAGGGAATAGCAAAACAACTAAATCAATTCTTGGTTTTAAAACCAAAATCAGGCCGGGTGCGGTGGCTGATGCCTGTAATCCCAGCACTTCGGGAGGCCGAGGTGGGTGGATTACAAGGTCAGGAGATCGAGACCATCCTGGCCAACATGGTGAAACCCCGTCTCTACTAAAAAATATACAAAACTTAGCCGAGCGTGGTGGTGCATGCCTGTAGTCCCAGCTACTGGGGAGGCTGAGGCAGAAGAATTGCTTGAACATGGGAATTGGAGGTTGCAGGGAGCTGAGATCGTGTCACTGCACGTCAGCCTAGCGACAGAGCAAGACTTCGTCTCAATAAATAAATAAATAAATAATAAAAATCAAAACAAAATCATAGCATGGGTCATCCCATTCCTGGGCCCTCTCCTAGTAATATGCCTAGAACTAATGTTTTTACCCTGCCTAATGAACTTTTTTCAAAAAATTTAACTGACAGAATCACGGCCATTTCACAGACAACCACCCAAAAACATTTCTAGACGGTGTTGCCCCTGCAGTCAATCCGAGACCAAGAAACTCTCCACCCCCCACACTCCTGCAGGAGGTAGCAGAAGGAACACGTCCCCCCTTGTCCTTTTATAACTATAGGGTCTGGAATGACAGAGCAGGAGCACCATCATCTTGGACAAACTGCCACTTTAAGTTCCAGCTCCCTTTTTAGCCTCATGCATGTCAAGGAAATCACTTCTCTTCTCACTACAAGCAGCCAGAAAAGAGCAGACAGCAAAACACAGATAAGACAGCTCAGAAACAGAGGAAGGCAGGGAGAAAGTCTCTTGGGTAACTGCCAAACTTCACCCTTGTACAATGTGTCCCCAGTAAAACAGTGGGCCTTAATAGGCACATTCCTTTCCCTTCAGGTGCACTAAGATAAGGAAGCTAAAGGCAGACTCCGGTGTGGGGGGTGGGGGGGGTGAGGGGGGTAGGAGGGGGGCTGGTTCCTGCAGCTACAGGAAGATGTATGTGACAGACACAACTCTCCCTCCCAGATAAGCACAACAAAGAGACACAGAAGTAGTCCAAGCCTCTGATAAACTCTCCCACCCTTAACAAAATACCTTACACTAGATAGCTAAAAAAAAATAAAGAAGATAACTCTCCCACCCTGAATCCTTAAAAACTCTTAGTCTGTAAGAGAGTACAGCTTCTGATCTAACTTGATCAGAAGTTCCTCGCAGGTTTAAAATAAACCTGTTGACTGTCAAGCCACCCTTTGTGTTTCTCTCCTCTTTCTTTTAATTCTTGCAGAGGCTGCAGTGAGCTATCATGCCACTGCACTGCAGCCTGGGTGACAGACCAAGACCTTGTCTCAAAAAAAAAAAAAAAAAAGTCCTGGTGAGGTAACTCATGCTTATAATCCCAGCACTTTGGGAGGCCGAGGCAGGTAGATCACTTGAGATCAGGAGTTCAAGACCAGCTTGGCCAACATGGTGAAACCCCATCTCTACTAAAAATACAAAAATTAGCTGGGCGTGGTGGTGGGCACCTGTAATTGCAGCTACTCAAGAGGCTGAGGCAGGAGAATCGCTTGAACCCAGGAGACAGAGGCTGCAGTGAGATGACATCGCGCCGCTGCACTCCAGCCTGGGCTAACAGAGTGAGACTCTGTCAAAAAAAAAAAAAAAAAACACCAGGGTCCTAAACTCTAGATACAGTTTATGCCCCAATACGGGACCTCTTCTTACATGGATGTCAGACCTACACTTGCCTGCCCACACAGACCAGACTAAGCTCTCCAGCATGAATGGTGGGGGGCCAACACATTGGCCTGGATACCTGCTAGTGGCCAGGGCAGGCTGTTGCAGTTGCCGACACCTTTAGTTGCACCTGGATTAACAAAAGATTTAGCTGGCTTGGCTTTGACCGGGAGCCCAACTGTGGTCTATTCCCCAGGTGGATCTGATCATTTTACCTGATCATAGCCACAGTTATTCCCATCTGATGTCACTTAAGAACAATAGAAAGGATCTGTGACCCTGTACAATTAATTGGGGCATCTGATAGGGTGGCCTGCTCTTTTGTGGGGGGACAAAGTCTTGCTCTGTTGCCCAGGCTGGAGTGCAGTCATGCCATCTCAGCTCAGTGCAACCTTCGGCTCCTGGGTTCAAGTGATTCTCCTGTCTCAGCCACCCAAGTAGCTGGGACTGCAGGCATGCACCACCACACCTGGTGATTTTTGTAATTTTTTGTTTTTGGTTTTGTTTTGTTTTTGAGAGGGAGTTTTGTTCTTCTTGCCCAGGCTGGAGTGTAGTGGTGCGATCTTGGGTCACTGGAACGTCTGCCTCCTGGGTTCAAGCGATTCTCCTGCCTCAGCCTTCCAAATAGCTGGGATTACAGGCATCTGCCACTTCACCCAACTAACTTTTTGTATTTTTATTAGAGATAGAGTTTCACCATTTTGGCTAGGCTGGTCTCGAACTGCTGAGCTCAGGTGATCTGCCCGCCTTGAACTCTCAAAGTGCTGGGATTACAAGCGTGAGCCACAGCGCTCAAACTGGCCTGTATTTTTTGAAAACAAATTCTTAGCTGGTTACACAAAAGGCCAGGCAGTGCAGTTGTAGGGACCAGCTCTGCCTTGAAGCTATGGAGACCGTCCACATCTCCACGTGGGCAAAGGTAAAGGCCTACCTGAAGTCTGACTTGAGTCTTGGCAGAATGTCCTGTGATTTTTTTCCTGGAACTGGCAAGACAAGCAGCCTGGTGAAGAGCCACCATGAGGCAGTTTCTCATCGGCCTCTGTGGCTCTGGTGTGGCCTGGGGCTTTTTTTCTTTCTTTTTTTTTTTTTTTTTTGAGACGGAGTTTTGCTCTTGTTACCCAGGTTGGAGTGCAATGGCGCGATCTGGGCTCACTGCAACCTCCGCCTCCTGGGTTCAGGCAATTCTCCCGCCTCAGCCTCCTGAGTAGCTGGGATTACAGGCGCGCGCCACCATGCCCAGCTAATTTTTGCATTTTTTTTTTAGTAGAGACGGGGTTTCACCATGTTGACCAGGTTGGTCTCGATCTCTCGACCTCATGATCCACCCGCCTGGGCCTCCCAAAGTGCTGGGATTACAGGCTTGAGCCACCGCGCCCGGCCTGGCCTGGGGCTTTCTACCTTGCCCACACTTGCATCCCTCCTGCAGGCTTCTGTGTAAGTCTATTACAAAATGGCTTGGCAGTCATTTTTGAGTTGGCCCTTCAATGTCACCTAGCCCCTCTGGTTTAGTGTCATCCCGTGGGACTAGGGATGTGGGAGCTTACACCATGATGGTCTTACTGTCTCTTTAAGCAATAAACTGTGTGAATGCAGTTGGGCTTACCATCTATTTAGCGGCTGAATCCGTGGACACATGAAAAGCCAGCCTAGCAACCGCCTCCGCACCGTTGCTTAGGAACTGCTTGACCACTTGACACAAATTGTGCAGAAATGCGAGGGAGGATATGCTTTTGCACACTTTGGCATTTTGATGAATCATTTTTCTAATGTCATCTTACCTTACAATTTTCCGAAGTGGCTTCCAGGTTCACACTGCCCTAATACATCAATACTTGTGGGCACTATGGAACTCTGCATCATGTTAGAACTGGAAACCTACTGGGAGCTTGGATGTAGGGTGTTACTTAAGATATTCTAAAAAGGAAGACAAGAAACCGTAACTACTTTTACTAGAAAAAAAACTGCAATGCAAAGAAATGAGTGCATCTGTGTAACCTAAGAGGCAGATCACAGACATTTCACAGTAAAAAGGGTATCCGGAGATTAGTTAAGCCCAAAACCAAACTAAACCAAATGGGTACATAGTCTTGTATCTGTCATACAGATCAGGAAATGGAAACACCAAACTGTAAAGTAACTTATCCAATATCTCAGTTGTGCGGTTGAAACTGGCAGTTTCCCTTTCTTCCACTAAAAATTGGGCTCCTTACCCAAGCTGTGTAAGGGCTGTGAGCAAACACGCACACCTACAACAAAGAATATGTTTCAGTCTTGAGTCTGCAATTCTTTTCCCCTTTGAAAAGTGCAAACAGCTTTTTTGCTTGCAGATCGCTTGAGGCCAGGAGTTCGAGACCAGCCTGGACAACATGGTGAAACCCTGTCTCTACAAAAAAATACAAAAAAAAAAAAAAAAAAAAAAAAAAAAAAACTTAGCCAGGGGTGGTGGTGCGTGCCTGTGGTCTCAGCAATTCAGAAGTCTAAGCTGGGAGGATGGCTTAAGCCAGGGAGGTTGAGGCTGCAGTGAGCCAAGACCACATCACTGCACTCCAGCCTGGGCAACAGAGCAAGCCCCTGTCTCAGAAAGAAAGAAAGAAACAGAGAAAAAAGAAGGAAAGAGAAGGGAAGAGGGAAGGGGAAGGAGGAAAGAGGAAGGGGGAAGGGGAGAGGAAGGAGGCAGGAAGGAAGGAAGGACTGAAGGAAGGGAGAGAGGGAGGGAGAGGGAGGGAGGAGAAGGGAGGAAAGAAAAGTTAAAACATATTGTTGCATTTAGCAAAATCTTAAGGCAGACCAACAGAGGAAATTTTTCACTCTTATTTATTTATTTATTTATTTAGAGACAGAGTCTCGCTCTGTCACCAGGCATCAGGCTAGAGTGCAGTGGCGCGATCTCGGCTCACTGCAACCTCCACGTCTCAGATTCAAGCAATTCTCCTGCCTCAGCTTCCTGAGTAGCTGGAACTACAGGTGCGCACCACCACGCCCAGCTAATTTTTTTGTATTTATAGTAGAGACGGGGTTTCACCATGTTGGCCAGGATGGTCTCGATCTCTTGACCTCGTGATCCACCCGCCTCAGCCTCCCAAAGTGCTGTGATTACAGGCTTGAGCCACCGTGCCCGACCGAAATTTTTCACTCTTATAGAAAGTATATGCCCTACATGGTGGCACATGCCTGTAGTCCGAGCTACTTGGGAGGCTGAAACAGGAGAATAGCTTAAATCTGGGAGGTGGAGGTTGCAGTGAGCCGAGATCACGCCACTGCACTCCAGCCTGGGAGACAGAACCAGACTCTGTCTCAAAAAAAACAAAAAACACAACAAAAACAACAACAAAAAGAAAATGTATGCCCTAAAAATGTGACTATCTGGGGTGCTCTGGAAATGTGGCAAATGCTAGTCTATAGCACTGATAGTTTCAGGGGTGCAATACTAGCATGCAAGTTATAATTTTTCTCTCGGTACTCACACGTGAAGGGCATCACTTGCCTGCGCGACACCGTGCCAGGGTTTGCAATGACTTCTCCTCCATGGCTGGTCACCCTCTCACTCCTGATCTCTGTTCTGAGGCCATCACCCCACGCTTGCATGTTGCATATTCAGATGTCTGTCTGGGTCTGTAGAAGGGTATTCGTAACAGAACCGAAAATTTATTTTATTTGCAGTTTTTGATTATACACATTAATCAAAGTTATTTCACTGCAAGTTATATGGCTACTTATAGTGAGTGACATAACAGACTCTCAATATTTGAATAAGAAGCAAAATACTAGAAAGGTCTGCCTTCTCGACCTAGCTTTCCTATTTCTTTTCTGAGTTGTAATGTGGCTGTTTGAAAATGTCCCTACAATAACTGAATCACTTGGATTAAATTAAAGTGGTGGCAAAGTTAGGCTGATGTCTAACATGTTCACGTGTGCCTTTTTTTCCCATATACATCAGTTTCATTTGATGGTGGAACATACGCCTTTTTAAAGAAAATTAATTTTATTTCATAATTTATGTTCATAAAAGAGAATGTTTATGTAATCACAAAACTTTTTTTCCAAGTTATTGGTTCCTCGCTGCTTTCTATACTGGGGTCAGTACTACAAAAACAAAAGTTACTGAATTTTAGCTAAATAATACTGTTTGGTGGATGCTCTGGGCCTGAAATGTGTCAAAAGATGTACTAGGCCAGGCAAGGTGCTCACACCTGTAATCCCAGCTGCCCAGCAGGCTGAAGCAGGACGATCACTTGGGCCCATTTGAGGCTTCAGCAAGCTGTGATTGCACCACTGCACACCAGCCAGGGTGACAGCAAGACTCTCTCTCTCTTTTTAAGAGACAGGGTCCCAATCTCTGGTCCAGGCTGGAGTGCAGTGATGCAATCATAGCTCACTGCAGCCTTGAACTCCTGGGCTCAAGTGATCCTCCCACCTCAGCCTTCCAAGTAGCTGACACTGCAGGTGAGAGCCACCATACCCTGCTTGTAGAGACAGGGGACTCACCATGTTGCGCAGGCTGGTCTCAAACTCTGGGCTTCAAGTCATCCTCCTGTCCCAGCCTCCCAAAATGTTGGAATTACAGGTGTCAGCCACCTTGCTTGACTCCTGTCTCTTAAAAAAAAAAGATATACACTGTGGAGGCTGAAAGAAACTAGGAAAGGTACCATCTGTCTCCTGCTGTGCCCATTCGTTCCATCAGAGATAAATGCAGTTTTACTCATGTTTTAAAATGTGGGCTAGGAGTGGTGGCTCACACCTATAATCCCAGCACTTTGGGAGGCCGAGGTGGGTGGATCACCTGAGGTCAGGATTTTGAGACCAGCCTGACCAACATGAAGAAACCCCGTCTCTACTAAAAATACAAAGTTAGCTAGGTGTGGTGGCACATACCTGTAATCCCAGCTATTCAGTAGGAAAATCGCTTGAACCTGGGAGGTGGAGGTTGCAGTGAGCCCAGATTGTGCCATTGCACTCCAGCCTGGGCAACAAGAGCAAAATCTCTGTCTCAAAAAAAAAAAAAAAAAAGAGTAGCAAGTTATTCTGCTGTACTCCCCAAAAATGTAGCTGGGAAGAACAAGATAGCCCATAAAAAGCGAAAAATTACTTTCAAGGACTCGGGAACGGAATGTGTGGTACATGCGCCATGTTATCTGTTAAAATAGCCAACTGTGCTGAAATCCCCTTGTGGGGAAAGGTAGAGATTTTTGCAAATGCAAGACAAAATGTTACTTCTCTGGATAAGACCACAGTACCAAGGACGCAGAAAAATAGGTCGGAAGCAGAGGAAAGATGGGGGTATATGACCTGAGAAGCAAAACCTCCTACGGATCCTCACTCTGAGCGTGCCTAGGAATAAGAAGGTGGGTTTCATCAACGGCAGCAGCAAACGCAGAGTGAGAAAAGCAGAAAGAAAGTTCTAGTAGCCGCAGAAGTTAGTTGCTTTGACCGTGGGCATGAGACCAGAATTTCAGAAGTGACAGAAAAAGCAGGCAGACAGATGGCAGGTGTTTGCTGGAGCCCTCAAGCCCTAAGGAAGAGTCTTGACTATGTTACCATCACTTTTGAACGTGGCAGCGACCGTAGCTCTCAGTCTGTGAGGAAAAGCCCTGCTGGCCTTTGAGACTGGTGTGAGGGACTGTCCTGCTCTGGGAAACGCGGGAGGGCTAAATTGGAAAAGCCCCGCTGGGTGTCCAATCTTTTGACTTCCTTGTGCCACACTGGAAGAAGAAGAATTTTCTTGGGCCACACATAACCTACACTAACACTAGTGATAGCTGATGAGCTAAAAAAAATGACAAAAACATCTCATAATGTTTTAAGAAAGCATAGGATTTGTGTTGGGCCACATTCAAAGCCTTCCTGGGTCACATGTAGCCCGCGGGCTGAGGGTTACACAAGCTTAGCCTAGGGTTTCTTGGTGAGATGAAAGTTGTCATGGGGCTTTGAAGCCCAAAGCATCATTTTTTGGAGGATAATCAATTAGCATTTTCTGCGTGGTTGTTTGGACATTACAAGAAAAGGGCCTCTGAGAAAGCCCTGGCTCCTGGGACAACAGAGCAGGTCACGCCTTCAACCTCCAGCCCAATGCAGGAGGAGAAAACAATCGCGCTTTCTGTGGCCAACATGACACCTTTATCACGGTCTGTGCGTCATAGAGGGACTCGGGCCCTATCTGGCTCCTTCTTAGAATGTGCATTTGCAGCTGGGCGCAGTGGCTCACACTTGTAATCCCAGCACTTTGGGAGGCCGAGACAGGCAGATCACCTGAGGTCAGGAGTTCGAGACCAGCCTGGCCAACATGGCGAAACCCTGTCTCTACTAAAAATATAAAAAATTAGTTGGGTGTGGTGATGGGCACCTGTAATCCCAGCTACTTAGGAGGCTGAGGCAGGAGAATTGTTTGAATCCGGGAGACAGAGGTTGCAGTGAGCCAAGATCACACCATTTAACTCCAGCCTGGGCGACAGAGTGAGACTCTGTCAAAAAAAAAAAAAAAAAAAGAATGTGCATTTTCCCAGCTCACGGGGCAGGTGCAAGTGAAGCTGGCTCCTTCCCCAAGGAGCACTGATGCATTTCTAATACCAAGATGAAAACCAGTGCCAGGCCATGGAGAGAAATGACTTCTCAAATGCTGGTGCCTGTGGATGCTGTGGCCTGAATCTATTTTTTTTTTTTTAAGAGACAGGGTCTCACTCTGTGGCCTAGCCTGGAGTACAGTGGTGTAACTTGGCTCACTGAAGCCTCGACATTCTGGGCTCAGGCAATAATCCTCCCACCTCAGCCTCCCAAGTAGCTGGGACTACAGGTGCATGTCACCATGCCTGGCAGTTTTTTAAATTTTTTGTAGAGACAGGATCTCACTATGTTGCTCAGGCTGGTCTTGAACTCCCAGCCTCAAGTGATTCTCTCAGTTTGGCCTCCCAAATCATTAGGATTACAGTTGTGAGCCACGGCACCCAGCCATGGTCTGAATCCATAACTCACTGTCCTAGCTGTGACCCCAGGAAGCATCAGATTTGCCACGTTAGAGTTTCTGTGGCCATCTAGTTTAATGGGCTGATGAGGATGCTTCATAGAAGTTCTTAAATTCTCATGATGAGACGTTAGCAATTGAAGTCCTCAAAGAGTTGTCCCCAACAAGCATTAGACAACCCAGTGTCTCACCAAAAATTTCCCCCAGACTTAGTTAAATACAGAAGGTGGCTGGGTGTAGTGGTTCATGCCTGTAATCCTAGCACTTTGGGAGGTCAAGGTGCGAGGATCCCCTGTTCAAGATCAGACTGGTCAACAAAGCAAGACCCCATCTCTACAATGAATTAAATAATAACAACAACAATAATAATAATTAGCCTGGGCTGCAGTGAGCCGTGAAGTGGGAGAATTACTTGAGGCTGGGATGTTGAGGCTGCAATGGGCCATGATCATGCCACTGCACTCCAGACTGGGTGACAGCATGACACCCTGCCTCAAAAAATAAATAAATAATCTGTACGTAATCTGTACATTGTGCCACTGCACTTACTCCAGCCTGAGCAACAGAGCAAGACCCTATCTCCAAAAACAAGCAAAGAAAAAGAACCACTGCAAGTTTTTTGTTAGAATCTTTATGACCTACTTTTTCTTTTTTTGAGACAGAGTTTCGCTCTTGTTACCCAGACTGGAGTGCAATGGCACAATCTCAGTTCACCGCAACCTCCGCCTCCTGGATTCAAGCAATTCTCCTGCCTCAGCCTCCTGAGTAGCTGGGACTATAAGCATGCGCCACCGTGCCCAGCTAATTTTTGTTTTTTTAGTAGAGACGGGGTTTCACCATGTTGACCAGGATGGTCTCGATCTCTTGACCTCGTGATCCACCCGCCTCGGCCTCCCACAGTGCTGGGATTATAGGCGTGAGCCACTGTGCCCGGCCTATGACCTACTTTTTCGCACACCAAGAAAGGATTCAAGTCTGGCCGGGTACAGTGGCTCACACCTGTAATCCCACCACTTTGGGAGATGAAGATGGGAAGACTGCTTGAGCCAAGGGGTTCAAGACCAGCCTGGGCAACAGAGTGAGACCCTGTCTCTACAGAAAAGTAAAAAAGCCAGGCCTGGTGGCATTTGCCTGTTAAAAGGCTGAGGCAGGAGGATCATTTGAGCCCAGGAGCTCTTTGAGGCTGCAGTGAGCCATGATTATTCTACTGCACTCCAGCCTGAGTGACAGAGCAAGACTCTGTCTCGAAGGAAAAAAAAAAAGAAAAAGACATATTTTGATATACACAAAACATGTACAGATTTTTTTCTTCTTTTTTTTTTTTTAGACACGGTTTCACTCTTGTTGCTCAGGCTGGAGTGCAATGGCATGGTCTCGGCTCACTGAAACTTCTGCTTCCCGGGTTCAAGTGATTCTTTTGCCTCAGCCTCCAGAGTAGCTGGGATTACAGGCACCCGCAACCATGACTGGCTAATTTTTTTTGTATTTTTAGTAGAGACAGGGTTTTACCATGTTGGCCAGGCTGGTCTTGAACTCCTGACCTCAAGTGATCTGCACATTTCAGCCTCCCAAAGTGCTGAGATTACAGGTATGAGCCACTTCACCCGGCTTTTTTTTTTTTTTTTTGAAGTGAAGTTTTGCTCTTGTTTCCCAGGCTGGAATGCAATGGCATGATCTCAGCTCACCAGAACCTCTGCCTCCCCGGTTCAAGAGATTCTCCTGCCTCAGCCTTCTGAGTAACTGGGATTACAGGCATGCACCACCATGCCTGGCTAATTTTGTTTTCTTTTAGTAGATATGGATTTCTCCATGTTGGCCAGGCTGGTCTCAAACTCCCGACCTCAGGTGATCCACCAGCCTCGGCCTCCCAAACTGCTGAGACTAGAGGTGTGAGCCACTGCACCCAGCTATGTACAGCTTTTTTTAAACAAAATATGTATGTATTTTTTTTCGAGACAGGGTCTCACTTTGTCACCCAGGCTGTTGTGAGTAGCACAGTTGCAGCTCATTGCAGCCTTGACCTCCCAACCTCAAGTAATTCTCCTTACCTCAGCCTCCTATCTGAAACTACAGGCGTGCATCACCACATTTGGCTAATTTTTATTTTTATTTTTTGGTAGAAACAGGGTTTTGACATGATGCCTAGGTTGGTCTCGAACTCCTGGGCTCAAGCGATCCTCCCATCCTTGGCCTCCGAAAGTGCTGGGATTACAGGTGTGGCTAATATATATATATATATATTGACTTTTTTATAGAGATGGGGTCTTGCTATGATGGCCAGGATGGTTTTGAACTCAAGTGATTCTCCCCCCTTGGCCTCCCAAAGTGCTGAGATTACAGGCATGAGCTACTGTGCCCAGCCTATGTACAGAATTTTAAAAAAATGTATTGTTTATTATTTTTTGTTTGTACAGAATTTGTATGATAAAAAAGACAAAATGCCAATACAAGAAATCCAAGGACAAAATCAATGTAGAGACAGACCATGCCCAGGACTTAGTGAAGTCAACACAGCAAAGATGTCAGTCCTCCCAAAGCGATCGACAGGTTTAGTGCGATTCCTGGCAAACTCTCAGCAAGGTGTTTTTGTAGGCACAGGCAAGCTTATTGTAAAATTAATATGGAAAGGCAAAAGAACTGGAATGGCTAACACAATTCGGAAAAGAAGACCAAAGTGAGTGGGCTCACTCGACCTGACGTAACGGCTTACTGCATAGCTGCAGTGATTTGGGTGGTGTGGTATTCGTGAAGGGATAAACACAGAGATCGGTGGAATGGAATAGAGAACCCACAAGTAGATCCACACAAATCTGCCTGCCAGATTTTTTTTTTTTTTTGAGATGGAGTCTTGCTCTGTCCCCTAGGCTGGAGTGCAGTAGTGCAATCTCAGCTCACTGCAAACTCCTCCTCCTGGGTTCAAGCAATCGTCCCACCTCAGCCTCCCAAGTAGCTGGGATTATACAAGCATGTGCCACCACACCTGGCTAGTGTTTGTAGAGTTTCACCATGTTGGCCAGGCTGGTCTTGACCTCCCGATTTCAGTGATCCACTCATCTCAGCCTTCCAAAATGCTGGGATTACAGGCATGAGCCACCATGCTCAGCCTAGCCACCAGATTTTTGACCACAGGTATAAAAGCAATTCAATGGAGGAAATACGGCCTTTTCAGCAAATGGAGCTGGAACTGTTGGACATCCACCGGGAAGGGGCAAAAAACAAAAACAAAACCTTGGACACACTCTATAGAAAAACCACCTCAAGGTGAATCAGAGTTCAGTGCAAACTGTCAACCTGCAAACTTTTGGAAAAAATGTAGCAAGACCGGGTGGGGTGACTCACGCCTGTAATCCCAGCACTTTGGGAGGCCGAGGCGGGTAGATCACAAGGTTAGGAGCTGGAGAACATCCTGGTCAACACGGTGAAACCCCGTCTCTACTAAAAATACAAAAATTAGCCGGGCGTGGTAGCGGGCACCTGTAATCCCAGCTACTTGGGAGGCTGAGGCAGGAGAATTGCTTGAACTTGAGAGGTGGAGGTTGCAGTGAGCCAAGATCGCACCACTGCACTCCACCCTGGGCAACAGAGTGAGACCCTGTCTCAAAAAAAAAGTAACAAAAATCTTTGGGGTGAAAAGCTAGGCAGAGTTCTTAGACTTGACGCAAAAAGCATGACCCATTTAAAAAAAGATTAACTGGACCTCATCAAAATGTAAAACTTTTGGCCCGGTGTGGTGTGGCTCACATCTGCAATTGTAGCAGGTTGGGAGGCCCAGGAAGGAGAACTGCTTGAGACCAGGACTTTGAGAGCAGCTGGAGCAACATAGTGAGACCCTGTCTCTACAAAACAAAGAAACAAACAAAAATCAACAAAAAAGTCTGCTCTGCTGAGGACCCCATTAAGAGGATGGAGTCCTCAAGCCCTGCAAACTACATACCCTATGAACCATGAGTATTTGAAATATATAAATAACTCTCAAAATTCAATAGCAAACAAGAAATCCAATGAGAAAATCTCCACAAGGGATGGACAGACATTTCCCAAAGAAGATACACAGATGAAAAGTATTCACATGAAAATATATTTTAAGAGCCGTGTGTGCTGGCTCGTGCTTATAATTCCAGCACTTCGTGAGGCCAAGGTGGGAGGATCACATGATCCTAGGAGTTCAAGACCAGCGTGGGCAATATGGCGAGATGCCGACTCTATTGAAAAAAAGAAAAAGAAAGAAAGAAAGAAAATTAGCCAGGCATGGTGTTGTGTGCCCGTGGTCTCAGCTACTCTGGAGGCTGAGGTGAGAGGATCACAAAAAATAAAGCCCTGTGCATGAACTTTCATAGCAGCTTTATTTGTAATAGCCACACACAGAAACAGCCCAAATGGCTTTCCAACATTAGGGATGAATGTTTGTCTCTGTGATATGTCCATACTATGGAATAGCGCTCAGCAATACAAAGCAGGAAGCCCTTGATATATGCAGTGATTTGGATGGATTTCCACGGGATTATGCTGAGTGAAGAAGCCAAACTGAAAAAGTTGGCTCCTGTATGTTTTTTTAATCCAATATTCCTGAAATAAGAAAATTGAGATTAGGTGTTTTGAGGAATTAGGGTGGCAGGGAAGGTAGGTGTCTGTTCTGTTTATAAAGGGGTAGCAAAGGGAGCTTTGTGGGGATGGAAGCCTTCTCTGTCTTGACTGTGGTGGTGGTTACACGTGAAATAAATGAATAGAATTAAATTCACACAAATAAGTGCACGTAAAACTGGTGACATCTGAATAGACTCTGGATGGCACTGAGGTCAATATCCTGGTTTTGACATGGTGCTGTAGTTATTCCGATGTTATCATTTGAGAAATCGAGTGAGGAGTGAGGGTCCTCCCTTATAATTTTTTCTACCACTGCATGTGAATCTATAATTATTATTATTTTTTCATTCCAAATCTATAATTATTTTAAAACAAAAAGTGAAAAATCAAAATAAATAATGAAAGGAATGAATTATAACCTATTGAATAAAATAGAAAACTGTGAGTCCAAACTGCCATAAATAAATTAATAAATAAAGGGAAAGTTTGATGAGAAATGGGATATTGACCTAGCCTCAAAGTACCTCCCCACTCCGTGCTGAAATAGGAAAATAATAACTTTAAAGTAGCCAAACATGGCAGATACCATCTTAATAAAGAAATCAAAGTCAATACCATTAGTATGAAAATCATGTGCCACCTCATAGGCTGAAATGAGAAGGACACGGCATGGCCTCTGCGATCTTCCTATCCAAGATGCAGAACCAGAACCTAACCACAAGGAAACGTCAGACACGCCCAAACTGAGGGTCATTCTACAAAATAACAGAGTCTAATCTTCACAAGTATCAAGGTTATGAAAGTCAAGAGTTTCTCTTTTTTTTGAGACAGAGTCTTACCCTGTTGCTCAGGCTGGAGTGCAGTGGTGCAATCTCGGCTCACTGCAGCATCCGCCTCCTGGGATCAAGTGATTCCCCTGCCTCACTCTCCCGAGTAGCTGGGATTACAGGCATGTGCCACCACAACCGGCTAATTTTTGTATTTTTAGTAGAGATGAGGTTTCACCACGTTTCCCAGGCTGGTCTACAACCCCTGACTTCAGGTGCTCCACCTGCTTTGGCCTCCCAAAGTGCTGGGATTACAGGTATTAGCCGTCGCGCCTGGACTTCTTCCTCTTCTTTTTTTTTTTTTTTTTTTTGAGTGAGGTTCTCCCTCGGTTGCCCAGGCTGCAGTGTGGCACAATCACAGCTCACTGCAGCCTTGACCTCCCGGGTTCAGAGGATCCTATCACCTCAGCCTCCTGAGTAGCTGGGACTGCAGGCTCAAACCAACACGCTCAGCTAGTTTTTGTATTTTTGTAGAGTTGGAATCTCCCTATGTTGCCCAAGCTGGTCTGGAACTCCTGGGCTCAAGCAATCTGCCCACCTCAGCCTCCTAAAGTGCTAGAATGACAGATATGAGCCACTGTGCCTGACTAGAAAGGACATTTTTGAGACAAGTGGTAAAACTTCAATAGGAGTTTGAGGATTAGATGGTAGCAACATATTCCATCATTTCCTGTAGCTGGGACTACAGGCATGGGCTACCATGCCAGGCTAAGTTTTGTATTTTTACTAAAGACAGGGTTTTACCATGTTGCCCAGGCTGGTCTTGAACTGTTGACCTCAAGTGATTTGCCCACTTCAGCCCCACAAAGTGCTGGAATTACAGGTGTGAGCCACCACACTGGGCACTTTTTTTTTAATTAAAAAGGAAA